ATAGTATAAATGCAACGTCTACTACATTATATTACTTAATTGTGCTTACCCTTATAACCTCCTGGAGAGTTTAAATGTGTATTATAATTCAATGTTGCCCAATAATGTTCGTCTGGGCTGTATGTATCACGTGACCAATCTAATAGTTCTTTTGCTATGGGACTTGTTTGCACAAATTCAATAAATGCTCGTGAAAAAGCGCCTGGAAAAAAATATTTATTAAAAATCTCGTAAGCATTTCAATGAAGAAGAATGTATTTAAATTACTCTACCATAAGCTGATCCTTTAACAATTTCGACATTGCCTGGTGGTGATGTCTTTTTCTCATTAGTTCTTCTTAATTGTGGTACCTGCTGATTATTTCCTGTAGGTGTATCGAAAATTTGCCAAACATATTCTGTTCGTTCAATATTCTTTGTTTTCCAGCGTCCTTCAATGTCGTTGTATCCACGATAAATTGATAGGATCTTAACTAATTCAGCATTGGTTTTTAATGGCAATTCTGTATTAGCAACATTTAATACATATTTCCATGATGGATATTTCATTAGATCTTGCATACAATTCAGATCAGCTTGCAAACGAGAAAATGTTGCATATAATACTCGTTCTTGTTTACTTGCTAGAAAAATATTGTTAAAACATTGAATGATAGACTTCACCGCTTGTAAAACATTTGCCGATGCATCGCTATCAACATGTACACAATAAAAATTTTGCGGTCGATATATAAGATGCAATAAACGTTCGAATTGTTCAACATTTTCATACATAAGAATAGTAAATGCTAGTGGAAATTGTCGATTAACGAACGAATCTTCATGATGATATGGCTCATTGAAACGTTCTGAACGATAAATTGAGCATTGCGCTTTTGTTATATTGTAGTGTTGATCAGGTACTGATGTTAAATTGTTTAAATCAGATAATAGAGCAAGAGCATGCTTAAATTCATTATAATCATGTTCATATAAATTTTGGCATGAAACAGAATGATAGTGTGGTTGTAGATATCGAAAGATTTTTTTCGACAAATGATTATTGTTATTATCGATTTTTTCGGATGAAATTGTTAACTGAGAAAAATTAATATCAGATGATAGATTATCATATCTTTTTACAAATGATATATAAATAAATTCGAAAAGAAAAAATCCCGCTAAGAATAATATGCAATTGTTTTTCAATAAACGATGATTGACTGTAAACTGCATTGGCCATAAGTACTCACTCTGATCTTATTTTGATCTAAATAAAAAATTACAAATGATGAATAAAAATGACAACCAACAATTACTAGTTAATTAACACGCAACAACATTTTATTTTACCATTCAACTAAAATTTCCTTGCTCTGAGATTTTATATATTGTTACTTATTCGCAGTACGTAAAGTATACAAATGCTGGCATCGTTCTCGCATTATTTTTTGTTCCTCTTTTCTGTTACAGGTGTTCATACTCTTCATATTCTTTTTCTCTTTCAATTCTTCTTTTCTTCTCATATTCCATGTCTTAGAATATATCGAAATTTTGCATTGTCTGAGAGTGACCCCGATGCAATCTCATAGTTACCTTCTATTATTTATTACTGTCTGGCATCCCACAAAACGAAAAATATAAGTGTCTATATTGCAAGGAAGAAAAATGGTTTGTTTTTCTTTTTACTTTTTTTTCTCTAGCGAGAATTTTTTTCCTCTTCTTTTCCTTCTCTACAATTAATCAAAGTTTTTTCTTCACATTATCGTTTATGGCAATGTCAGAGAAAGAAACCTTCATACCAATTCTGATTATTCTCAGAAAAAAGAAAAGAAGAAAATGTAAAATTTACTTCTGCCTGAATAGTCAGTTTAGTTTTATTTTAATTTTACATTAATACACTTACGAATGTTTCCTTTTACAAGCAAATGAATCATAAGAATAATATTCGTCTATCATTCAAGATTTTTATCGTGTATGAGTATCATATACCTTGACAGCTCTTAAGTACATCAGAGCAAATATATTTAAGTTTCATTCACTCTTGTCTCTCCCATAAAACAACAAAGTCACACTTTCAGCGACGGAATAAACGTAACAAAATAGATGAATGATGATGATGATGATGCATTGATTCACATTGCTGTAATTTGAGATTGTAGATCATTGTAGGGGTTGATGTATATGTTCGTTCGGCCATATGATCGTATTCTCTTTTCTTTCAAAAGAGCATCAAGCAAAAAAATTGGAGTATGGAGAGAAAGCCAATGAATATTTTTACTGCGCCAATCAAATGATGAAAGATTTATTACCTAGCGAGAGGTTTTTCTGAGCAATTCACATTTGAAAAGATCAACAATGGTAAATACGAAGCTATTTCTAAATACTAATGATTATAGGATTTTATTACAAAATTGTCAAATGTCACTTTTTAATTGTCGTTATTTGAGTACAAGAATGTTTCGATTTCAGATCCAATATTTGCTCAAGGATAAGATAGATTATATAATTTTGATAACTAATCACACCTGTCACATTGTTTTATTAGCTCTATTTAACTTTATTAATATCTTAAAAGCAAATCATTTTTTGAAATTGGCACCCGTAATAACTTTTGCGTAATATCACTGACAACACACATACAGACATGACATCTATCCGCTGCTGTAAAACACTATTACTCATTAAAAATAAAATATTCTAATCATATAATGATGCCATTAGTTTTTCTTTATTTCTCTTATTTACTTCAGTATACAAAGTGTCGGAAATTCGACTAATAATATATGAATGTCTATCTCAACTGTATTTCATATAATTGAGGTAATTTTTATTTTGCGAATCTAAAGGAAAATTCTGAATTTCTAAGACGCACAAATGATTTTTTGTAATGCGCTACTCTGTGAGATAGAATCTTATGAATTATCGTTGAAGTCAAATAAGTTAGCAAAACGAATACAATCTTTCATGGTTTGAATGTCGGCCAACGATTTCAATCTTTTCAGTATCAACTAAAACTGATGTATAACCAGAGTCGTAAAATAGACGAACTTTTTTTTGTATCTTTTCGGCAAAGTAAAAATGAATCATCGAACAAATTTTGGCGCTTCACTTAATTGAGAACAAGTCGATGGGCTGTTCTCCTGCATTCATAGGTGAAACTACGAATAACAACGATCAAGTACTTGTCAATAAGTCCCAACAACACTTAAACGAAGAACAAATTGAACAACTTCTCAAAGTACGATTCAATCGTTCGGAAATTCTCGAGTGGTATCGTATTTTTATGGAAAAATGTGGTGCAAATAATAATAAATCATCGTCATCATCATATTTGACAGCTCATATTCATAAACCAACGTTTATCGACTATTTTAATCAGTTACATTCTAATGGTGATGTAATTCGTTTAACAGAAAGTTTTTTTCGCATCTACGATCTCAACAGTGACGGCATCATTGATTTTATGGAATTCATGCATGCTATAAGTGTAATACAAAGAGGTGACCTGACAGAAAAGCTCTCATTTATTTTTTCTTTATTGGATTCCAATCAAGAAGGTTATATAGATCGTTTAAAATTAGTTAAAACAATGGAAGCATTATACAAAATTAAAGGAACAAATTATAAGGATAGTTATAATGTTTTATTAAGAAAAGTCGATCACCTTATAACAAGATTAGATGATGATAAAGGAAGAGGACGCATTACGAGATATAAATTTATTGAAAGTTGTATGAATGATCCGATTTTAAAAGATTTACTGAATGCATACAAATAAAAAAAACAATTTTTTTTCTTCGGCAGATTTTGCGCTTATTTGATTTTTCTTATATTTTGTTATGATTAGTAATAATAATAATAATAGTAGTAGTAGTAGTACAAATTCCGACATAAATATTAATCGTTTATCACAGTCTACTGACTGCTTACATCAATCATCTTATGTTCATTTTCAGCCTTTTCGAGTTTCATATAGTATTATTAATTTAAAAGAACAATTTCTTCATTCAATACGATCAAAGCATAATGCAAATACATATCAACGTTTTAATTTTGTAAAAGATTCAAACTACAATCGTTTATCAACAAGAAAATTCACAGAAAACTATCATTTATTAGAAAGCAAATTAATAAAAAAATTCTTTGATTCAAATCAAAATGTTCTTTCAAAAGAGGTCCTTGAAAAAATGTGGAAATCTTCACAATTTTGTGATTTATTACTCATTGTACAAGGTAGCGAATATTTAGCTCATCGATTAGTATTAGCAATGTCTAGTCAGAAGTTCAAGTAAGATTTAGTATCATCACACTTTAACATAATTATAGATTTCTATGTATTCATTAGAGGAGGCTTTGATGTATTTTTAACATGTAAAAGCTAATGGATAGTCCGTCTTTCGGGAAAAAATCGATTCGAATACGAACATGATCCATCGGCTCTTGAGAAAACATTTCCAATACAGTTTATTCAGAGTAATAAATTTCTATTATGAACTAACACATGAGAACAATCTGCCAAAATTATTTTGATCATGATCATTTTCATTGTTAAGAGACCAATAAAGAGTATAATTCATCGAAAAAGAACAACGAGGGAGTTTGGTTGATAAACGGAGTTTTAAACTAGAGATACGATTTTTATTATTCATTGTTAATAAAAGAAATAAATAGTTAATTACGCTAATTCGAGGGTATACTCAATTTAGTATAAAAATTTTTATTTAGAAAAATTTTTCATAAACATAAAAATGATTTTGTTACTCGTGTTCATCTTCATCACTCAACGCACAAATCATTACAACTTATTCTCAATTACCTCTATACCAATGATATAGTACTCACCATATATAGTATCGATGATATTTTAACTTGTGCTAAAGAGTTAGATATTCGAAAATTAGCTGATTTATGCATCACTTATCTTTCGAGAATTAATAAACGAACAATTTTTCAAATATTAGATATAGCCTGTAAACATAATCTCTCCGAAGTTTATCGCTTAGCACATAAATATCTTATTCAATCGATCGATGAATGTATTCAAACAAAAGAATTCATTGATATTGCTTATTGGATGTTAAATCAAATTCTTTCGGATGTTACCATTGAAAAACGACAAGAATCTCTTGTATTCGATCGAACTTTACAATGGTTATCATGTAATCGTGTATCAAATGAAGATCTTATTTTTGAGCTACTAAATAAAATTCGTTGGGAAAATTTAAGTTATATATCGTTAAAAGAAATTTTAGCGATCAACTATGAAATATTACATAATCCGATTGTTGAACAATGGTTAATAAAAAAACTAAAGTAAATTCAATATCAAGTTTTTCTATTTACATATATTTATGCGTATTAGTGATAAAGTCAATAATCAAGTAGAAAGTCGACGAGAAAAAGACAGATCTTCACAACCTAAGGTAAATTTTTAACCATTTTTCACTGTATAAACTTATAAATAAGAAGATCTTCGTATTTCATGGTTTCATGTTTTAGGCAATTGTTTGCCAGTTTTTTGCAGATCAAACAATTACAAAGTCTAGCCGTTTGTTTGACTCAACACCAACTCTATTGGATTAATGTCTCTAGAAATAATATTCTATAATCATCTATTTTTCTCGATCATTCTAGTTGTCATTATCGAAAATTCTTATTATTGGCGGTGGTTTTCATTTAGATAAAACTGAAATGCATTTCATAACATTCAGGTGGTTCATTGTCACATCCATTTGAAAACGAACAGTTGATATCAACAAATTGGGTTTCTTTCATGAATCGATCATTATTAACAACATTCAAACAAAATAAATCGCAATCAATACCACCAATATTAGAACAGCGTGTCTATTTCGGATGTGACATGCTGAATAATCAAATTTGGATTTCTGGATGACTTGAAATAGATGGGAAGTAAGAAAGTTTCTATCGTAAATACAAATGAATTTTTATATTTTATTAGGCGAATTCGTGCGATTGAATACTATGATCCAAAACCAAACGTATGGAAACTTGCTAAACATCTCCGATCAGGTCGACTTGGTTGCGCTGTAGTATCATTTGACAATAAACTTTTTCCTGTTGGCGGCTATGATGATATAAAATCAACGTAATCTTATGCTATTGCCTACGACTCTGAAAGGAAAATGTTTGTCTTCGAGTGTATGATCTTATGATAAACGTCGCATGGACAAGTCGTTGCAATATATATATATATGTTGATCCAAAATGAAGTACTACTCAATATGAGGTATTCAAAGAATTAGAAAAAGTTCCTGTTTAATCTTTGTAAGTGCGATTGATGTTTAAATCTCTAGATTGATAGCGATTTTAGTTTTATTTTATAATTCTTTTTTTTTCAAAACGAGAACAATTAATTTATTATATTATTTTCATTGATTTACATTACAAAATTTGAATTCATTCTCTGAATAAACATTTGCAACAATATGCAATATTGCAACATTTTGTCTCGCGACGATCTGCCCGGTCACCTGATAAACAAAGTGTTTATTGCTTTGCTCTATTAGTTGGTTGAAAAAACAGTCGCTGATTCTTAATCTAATCGAGAAATGCAATATTCATTTGGACAACATTATCAATTCATTCTGATGATTAGGCCATTGAAGCAGCGAGTTGTGTTATTACTAGTTCAAATATGAGTTGCCGTTAAAATTTCATCCTTCAAACTACTTTGCTATGACTCATATAGTGAACAACACCACTAACAAAGGTATATGTACGGGTGTGACAAATGATGTTCATGACTAATAAATAATATTTTCAAATGTCTAATAAGATTCACGTAGAATAATTTTACCTAATACACATTTTACAACTACTTCAATATTTCTTGTTCATATCTAGTATCTAACACCCTCTGTAACGAAATATATGAATCATCACCAGTGGCGGTATAATCCCGTTTTTTCATTAGACATTCAAAGATGATGTTAGAGCATTTAAGACCTTTTGTCGATCATTTTATTCTTATTTTTACTAGTCTTCATATCGCAGAGTAAATTTTTATAACAATTTTAGAATCTACATGATGATTTCGTTAGATAAACAATATCACGAGGATTATTCAACATCTTGTAAATGTCTACCAACCTTAATTCCAAATGATCAATTAACAGAATTGAATTTATCAAATTTACAATTAGCAAATATCGATTCATTTCCATTTGAAAAATTTCCTAATCTTCATTCTCTCGATTTATCTTACAACCAATTAACATCAATAAATCCTGATTGGTCAAAATTATCTCAAAATTGTATCAAATATTTAAATTTAAGCCATAATAAATTAGACTCACTTTTATTTCTTAAAGATTTCAAATATTTAAATACCTTAAACATAACAGATAATTTACTTAAAAATAATGAAAGATTTCTTTCATTATATATTTGTCCAACATTAGAACATTTAATTGATGTAGATCAAGAACAAATTCACAGTGACCAATTAAAATTTGATCAATTATTATTATTATTAATTCAAACAAACATGGATTCTTTATGGTCATTGTCACATCATGCTAAAAATAAAACGAATAGTAAAAAGTCACTAGATGATTTTCGTCGATCTATAATAAAATTCATTGAAAAAGAAAACATATTTTTTGAATTTCATTTATCATCATTAGGCAATTATTTTATTGAGAAAAAGATAAATGAATTTGAGTCTCGGGTTGAGTCAACGTTTAAAACATATTTAACTGATGATTTTAATCGATCGATGAATGCCAAAGAGAAACTAAAAAGTTCTTTTGAACCAATAAAATGTTTTCGTTGTCATCATAAATCTAATGATGATTTAACAACAATATCTGTATCAATGTGTGCATTCGAACCAAATAATACATCGAATCATATATTAGCAACATGTGGTGGTCATAAAGTGTGTTTTATTGATTGTAAAACATGTGAAATAACACATATCTTCGAAGTTAATACATTGAAATCGGCAGTAACATCAACTAATCGTATGATAAAAGATAAAAATAGAAAGTCAAATGCAGAACATTTTTCATGTTTATGTTGGATTGAAATTGAAAATATTAATCAGACATTGAATGTATTAGCTGTTGGATCAACAAGTGGCCATGTTTATCTTTTATCACCACAATGGAAAATTATGTTTGGACATATTGAACTGTCTGTAAGTGATTTAAAAATAAATTATCTAGTTAGAAGATCGCATCAACACAAAAAAGGGGTGCCTATTTAAGTCTTCGTGACATGAAATTAATACGTGAAATATGTCTGAAATTTGAATAAAAAGAAATCCGATAATCGATTGCATTTATTTTCTTTCGTATTCATAGGTTTCATCGATTAGCTGTTTAACTTGGCATTCAAGTAATCCATGTATCTTAGCTATTGGCTATGATCATATCGTTCGTTTTATTAATATTCGTTCGTATATCGATCGACTACAATCGTTTATTCGTAAACAAAACAAACCAACTGCACAATTTGATTATGTGGATTCATCGGTTTTTATCAATAAAATTCCAACTACACATATGTACAATCTTTACAGTGGTCAAGGTCCACTTGTTAACATAACTGATTTACTTTTCTGTCCATTGTCGAAAGATAATATCGTTCTTCTCGTTGGTACGACTTCAGGTCTTTTTATTATTAAATATAAAGAAAAACAAGAACAATCACCTATTCAACTTGCATTTCCTAAATCAATATGGACTCGTAGTGAACATGTTGAATCATTTCGTATGATTAATAATTCGACACATCTTATTGCAATGAATATTCTTGGTCTCGATCAAATTTGTTGTTTCAATCTTGAACAATCACTTAAAGATCAACAATTACATATTATTATCTTAATATCAAATCCTTCTCGACATATTCCAACGAAAATAACTCTGTTTCCAATTAATAAACGAAAGAATAGTTCAGCTACTGATTCATTTGAATGTATTGTTGGCCACAATGATGGCTCATTTTTTAATCATGAAATTCAAACATATAAAACAAAAGAATCAATTTTAAAAACTAAACAATACAAAATTGAATGTGAACAAAACGAAATTTCGAATATTTTATCCACTAGTCTAAATGAACATTTTCTATGTTTAACTACAAATAATAATCTTATATGTCTATATAAACGACAGTAATATCTATGTATAGTGTTCAATGTAACTTATGATTTCTTCTTTTTTATCAAATAAAAAAACAACAAAAACAATCTACTAATCAAACAAAGAGAGATGCATGACTTGAATTTTGTCTGTCTTTAAAATGTTGTACCGCATGATGACCTTGTGCAAATGTTTCAAAGAGTCCTGCTAGTTTCGTGGCATATTTACGATCGCTTTCGAGAATTACTTGACGACGACGTAGTGCTTGATATAATGAAAAAACCATTATACAATGGTAGATAAGAAAAAACATTGTCGATACACCAAGTACATAATAATCGACGGCTTTTGATATATGCATATGTCTCATAAGAAAACCGATTATTGAATGCCATATTGAATTAACCGATATGAAAACTAATGATATAAGCGTATATTTATCTAATAATGTCAAATAAGATACAGGCGGAAGAAGACGCGAAACGGACCAACGAAACATAATTGATGTTAGTAAAAGTGTACCTAGATGAGACAATATTTTCATTAATATTATAGAATTAAATAAACAAACATGTAATCTGAAGACGATTTTGTGGATATTCAGGTGCAACACTATAGACAGTTAGTGCAATGAGTGTAATAAGAAAAATAAGTAAATAAACATTCCAATAGAAATAACCCGGTCGGCGGGCAACACAGCATGTTACTAAAAAAATAAATGTCTATGAGAAAAATAATTAGAATCATTTTAGCCCTGATTATTTGAAATTGTCATTTATTTTCTATAAAGTTGATGGACAAATTCAACTTCGTGATCTCTATGTCTATTCGTTTCTATCTAAAGCTTCATTATTATTCACCAGCACGGCCTCGATGTTTCACTTCACTAACCTTTCCTTTTTCTTCAACAAACTCAGCAAAAATAAGACCTAAACGGTTGAGTTATTACGAGTAGTAGAACATCTGTTGCATAGAAGTTAACTAAGAGAACTATGTGAGAATTTTAAAAAAAGCTACTTTTCAATTCTATAAAATCTACCGATATATGTTGATTGCCGAATAGGTCGAAAACTAAAATCTTCCATTGTTATTGTTGAGCGTGCTTCAATTTGTTCGTAGAGAAACCATTCTTGTTGGGCTAAGATGATAGAAATAAAATTGTTTCTTAGGAATCTCACTAACTTAAGTTCTATCAATTAAAATTACCTAGAAAAGCTTCTCGGTTGACCATCGAAGGCTGAAAACTATTTTCAACTAGAACACATTCTTCAACCGAACATCTTGTAACAATCTGCAGTGAAAGTTGTTGCACATCAACTGGAAAACTATTTAATTCAAGTTTTTCCCAGAATGTACCCACAACCTTGCGTACTTCCCATACGTAAATAATATCATCGTTTTTACTATCAATATAAACAGGTTCATCTAAATTATCAACTAATTCGCGAGCAACTTCTTGTTTAACATCACCAAGTGCATTTTTAACGTAAAGATTTGGATTCCATGAAGCTGCTTCAGGATCATATAACCATCGGGCTTCAATAACAACTTCAGCATAAAATTTTTCTTCTAATGTAATTACCTTTCACGGATTTTAATGAATAAAAAAAAAACAATCGAAAGTAAAAATTATCAACTTACTTCACCAAGACGAATAAATTTCACACGGACAGAAACTTCGCGTGGTGGTTTTACTGTTAACGGAGAAGGATCCAACTGTTTTGAATTGGTTTTTTCAATCTGTCGTCGTTTTTGAAAATCCGGATGATTCGGTAATGAAGTCATCACTACAAACAGATAAATGACGATTGTAAAATGAATGTTGATTCAATCATAATATATTTAGGCCCTTATAAGTGCACCCACTCATATATTTTTATTACAAAGATACACATAAATAGCAATTAAATTGATGCATATAAGGAAAAAGAAAGGACTTTTTTAAAAATTTATTCCATATAATCACATACATGTGGATCCACAGACAGATGATCGAGTACTTGAAGGTAACGAATTACCAGATAGATAATAAGACGATCGTTGTTGAACATCACCATTGGCTTTTAATCGTCTATTCGATGGTTTTGATGTTGCAGTTGATTCATGAATTTCTTGTTTAACAGATTCTGTATAAGAATCAGAACGTATTGCACTACGCATGATCGATATAGAAATGAGACATTTGAGTTTAAGAACGTCTACGAGTACTGCATCAACTATGTGTGTTAGAATCGAATGAGAAACATTATACGGTATTATTGTTGTTAACTGATGTACAAAAAATATTGACACTGATTATGAATACCGATGATAATGATGGGATCAACTTTCTACTATTCCACGAACACACACACACATATATATATATACAAACAAGCCTATCTGATAGAATTCGTTATTTCCTGTCGGTGCTTCGTTCTCATTTTTGTTTATACAGCGGTAGAAAAAGCACCAGATGAGGCTGAAAAATAAGATGAAGAATGTGCCGTGGCAGATGACGCACAACATAAAAAAAATGTTAATCATTTGTGGCAGAAAAAAAACCGATGTCCTCTCTATGTTGATTATTTGATAATTTAAACCTATTGAACATTAACTAACAAGACGAATAAACTATTTAATTCGTATATTAAATCATAGATGAACTATAAGCTAACTTTATTTCTAGAAGAAATCAAACTTATTGATTTAAAAATACCAAGTATTGCTAATGATTATAGTCACGATGACTTATGGGTAAAAATCTGTTGCATGAAATCGAACAGAGAAGTTTTAGATCAATTGAATGCAATACTTTCATTGTTAAAATAATTATGGAATGATAGTAATGATGTATACTAAAATAATATAAAAATTCTAAATGATTTTAACCAATCCATTTTATACAAACTATTCGAATAGAAGCTGTTTCATTCTACGCACATTCGAGAAGTAAGTCGTATAGTGAACCGATTTATCACTTGAATTTTATTAGATTACTAAAACGAGACACTATGTCTTTTTTTGATTAATTATAACATAGATATATCGAAGGATAAGAATACGATTACCATTTTATTAATGAATACTTAACTGATTGGTTCAACAATCAAAAAAGTGATAAGGGCAGCTCTGTATGGCATTAGTCATCTCTGTTAAACTCTAGAAATTCAGTTTGTATAAGTTTCTACATAGAAATTATCTCTTCGAATTATTTCTATTAAAACTACACGGGTAAAAGTCATAATCCATATCAAACTACAGCTGCTTATGTACAAAAAAAAATGTTAACTAAGCCGCAGCATTCCGTACTAATTGATGTTGGCTAGTCGATAAGCAAAAAAAACAAAAAATTTGGAAGATCGTCTATTTTGATGAACTGAAAAGTGACTGCATTTGAAAACGTAGTTAACAATGAGAGTGCTGCGAACTTCAATCATCGTTCGAGAAGCTATATCAGACAAACTGGAAAGGAACGGATGTATTTTGAAAAATAGAAAATTTACGAACAAAATACACTGGTGTTTGGAATGACGGTTTCAATATAAATATGTTCGACATTGTGCGACCTCTTGTATAAATATGTGATTGACGATGAGAACGGCGAGTACGACATTCCTGATATATTGAGTTTGAGTAGTGCGAGAGAAATAATAAAAGAATAAATCGAGTTTTGATTGCCGAAGAAATTTCTTGAAGTCAATTAAAGGTTAGTTTTATTTAAGTTGATCTCGAGTAGCCTTGCTTATTTTTACTGGACAATATAATGGCATTGATTAGAAATAGTATTTTCAAAGTGAGTTATGTGTTTAAGAAAAACAACTAATAGTTAATTAACACTTGATTACTATCTCTAGTTTGCTACACTATCAAAACAGTGTATTTTTCTAACTCCAAAACGTTCTTATTTGTTACTTCATGAGTATGTTTCTATGGGATTACTTCAAAGAAGTAGGTATTCGTGTAGCTGAATCAGTTGATCAAGCTTATCAAATTGCGCCAAGTCATGGTTTGTTTTGAAAGATAGTACATTCAATTGTTTTTAATTTTGATGTGATTCATTCAGAACTTAGTAACGATCTCGTAGTCAAAGCTCAGATTCTCGCTGGTGGTCGAGGTAAAGGTTCGTTCGGTAGCGGACTTAAAGGTGGTGTCAAAATGACTTATTCGTGAGTATTATGATTTTTTGTTGGGCAGAAAAATGGAAGTAAATTGAAATTTCTTTTTTTTAAGACTTGATGAAATAAAACGAGTTGCCTCAATACAATGAATATTTTGTTTGAAGCCAGGCGTTACCCGAAAGTCAGATTTGTCAGTTCTTGAATTACTTTCATTGGTATCGCTAATGAGGAGTCGTCAAGTTAAATTTTTCAAATAATCTAATCTTGTTCAAGTAAGTCTTTTGTAGTTAATAAAACGCAATACTTGACTTCAGAACAGACTGTTCGGGGTTTTAGAAATTATTAACCGTAGTGAAGCTAAGGTACATCAAAATAGGAGGATGTTTTTTAGTTTCTCAAAGCTGCATAATGAACGAATGAACTTACACATTTGTTACATAGGTATGGATTGTAGGATTAATGTGGATGATAGTTCAGAATTTCGGCAACATGCTGTATTCGATCTAAAAGAAAATGTTCAAAGCGATTGGCGTGATGCCAAAGCACAAGAATCAAATCAAAATTATATTGGTCTTGACGGTGAAATAGGATGTCTTGTCAATGGTGCTGGTTTAGCAATGGCCACTATGGATATTATTAAATTACATGGTGGTAGTCCAGCTAATTTTCTTGATGTTGCAGGTGGCACTTCAGCTGCACAAGTTGAAGATGCATTTGAATTAATTACAGCCGATCCTAGAGTGAGTTCAAATAAGCATAGACTGATTGATCTATTTGTAAATTTCACCTAGGTTCAAGCCATATTTGTTAATATATTCTGGGGTATTATGAGATGCGATACTATTGCTCATGGCTTCGTTGCAGCAGCCAAAGAGCTCAAATTAACTATTCCGGTAGTTGTGCGATTGCAATGTTGATAGTGGTTTTTTTAACAACTATGTTTTCATGGAATAGTAATTGACTTTGTTCTTTGTCTAGGAACACGAATTGATGATGCTAAAGCAATTCTAGTCAATAGTCAATTTAAAATTCTTGCTTGTGATGATTTGGACGACGGAGCTCGATTGGTAAGATTTCTATCATTTTTCTTTATAATTAACTATTCTAAAGACGACGTTAAAAACGTGTTGTCTTTCATTTTAGGTAGTTAAACTTGCACAGATAGTTAGTTTAGCTCGATTAGCTGCCATAGCTGTTCCATTTGAATTACCGATTTAATTTATTTTTAAGGCGATTATATTTCTCATTCTCATGGACAAAAAAAATCAGCGAATCTCTCGTTATTTTTCTCCATATCTTATTTTTATGTTCATTTTTTTTTGTAATTGTATTAGTATACGTAAAGCTCACATTCCGTCGTATCTATCTGGTAATATATGTATATGCTCTGCAATTCTTTTTTTTGTCATTATTTGTTTACTTTTTTTTCTCAGTAAATATCAAATCAGCTAATAACAATAATAATAATAATAATAATAATAAAGAACAGAAATGATAATTTCTTTGATATTGGTCAAATCAATTATTACCCGGAGTGTATTTGGTATCGCAATAGGAAAATATGACCAGACAAGGTCACCGGGATCAGAAACAAATAACATCTGAAATGTCAGCCCTCGACTAGGTCAATAAAACATATTTTTGGATGTAATCAAGACATAAAAGTTGAATTTACTGCTAAGTCAAACTCTTTAATCGATCAAATTTTAATATGGTAAAAGAAATTGAATTATTTTCTTTTATTGCTGTAACGTTTTTATAGTAGCAATAGAATATAGACGATTTCTATTCATAGCACGTAAAAAATAAGTAATTACAATTCAATCGAAGGAACCGTTTACAACGGTAGAAAACATTAAAAAGACTAACATTGGAAATAAATCTGGCTCGTCTTCGAGAATATTTTGAAGAAATCTGTAACGAAAATAGGCTGTTCATTCTCAAGTGAATTAATTCAAAATGAACAAAGCAGATGAGCAAATAGTAATATGCAAGTCATTTTATATGGATGACTCCTCGAGAACTGCAATGGATTAGATTGTCTATAAGTATCATCAATATCCATTCTCAAACATTGATCTAATTTAACATATTTGCATATAATAATTGAAATTTTGGTCAATGGCATGTGGTTGCTAACAATGTAGCTATCCATTTTATAAGGTAAAACTTGAATATCAAAGAAAGAAAAAACGTAGACCAAGCAATTTAGATGCAGCTAAATTAAATAGTTGTTCAACATATTAGTGTCAAGTGAATCAGACATTTATCAAAATAAATTACTCGCACAGGAAAAGAAACGCAATAATAGACATCAATATTTTCCACTAAATCCAGAATATATAAGTTCATTTGTAATTTTCACAATGACTGAATCCTTTGCTTGACAGGCGATTAAAGTGACCATCAGTATAATTACGATCGTTGCTCTATTCATGAATGATTTCAGAATAAAATCTAGTGAGCTTCATTGATCATTACACATCTAAAATATCAAGACATGGCATTTCCGCTTATAAATACGCTCCCGAGCAGAAACACTTCCGAGCGTGACACTGCTAAGATAGTAGTTATGCGTAAAAATAATTTTTTTAATGATGCGCGTGAAACCGGAAACACACATACGTAAATATATTTATATTTACATAAAGGAAACAGGATCTAGTGAACTGTTACCGCACTGTGTTTACTTAAGTACGGCTAGGCTGATCTTTCCCATTAAAAATACCTGAAATTTACACTTCTCAAAGCGAGAGTATAAAAGTCGGTAGAGAAATTTTGATCGATCACAACTTTTATAATCAAACAGCGCGCAGAACTGTAGAAAAAAAGGTTTAATTGAATTTTTGTCAGTTACAAATGGTTTATGAATTGGTGTGAAAAAAAACAATCCGAGTATTTTTTTAATTTTATCTTCTCAGATACTATCGACAGAGAAAATACTCACAAGTTGCATTGAACATGTTCAGTCTGTTGATGGAATCATTCAATTATTTCCTTCATTAAAAGGTTTCGAGTCTAATTTTTGTCGCGTTACTTATCATTATCGGTGAAGACATTCACACAAAATAAATCTGGCACTAAAATCAGTATTAATAGATCTGCAATATGAATGTTATTAAGAAAAAAAATACACATTTATAACTACATTCTCTTATCAAAAATCAAGTTTGTTATGTAACAGAAACGTCTGTCGTGATTAGTAACATGCTATGCTGTGTCCAAATACTAAATCAACCATAGCACTATACGCGAGAGTTTTAATGATTTGTGGTCATTCAAAAACTCATCAAGAACATCGTTCTTGTCTATACCCGTAGTTAGAACAATTATATAGAGTTCTTATCTAATATATTTATATGAATTTTTTGTCGGCTTTCACACAATGAAATATGTGTTCGTATTTTCTAACGATAACCTTGTATACCGTTGTTAAGTACTATCAAGATGAAAATACTGAGATTGCTCTTTAAATTTATATATATATATATATATAGAGAGAGAGAGAGAGGATAATAAAGTACCATTTTTACTTATTATGACTAGTCAACAAGAATGAATAGGCTTGAATCACTGTATTCGACTAAAAAAATTCTTTTTTTGTTTTTACAGAGACTATGAAAATGTAAAAGAAAAACCAGTTCGTTATCCAAGAGAAACAACACTTCCATACTATCTATTGATTATGCCGCCATGCACTGAAAAGACAAATAGCGTTGTCCTTGTGATTCATTAAAAGTGATACATTTATGACAACAAATATCACCTGGCCATAAGACTATCATCATTTTTTCGAGGTTAAAGAACACGCAAGATATTCAAGAATTATCTTTGCTAACCAAATTTTTATTCACTTGAATTATGTTAAAGAATATTTACTTGTTGATAAAATTCTTCATTTTTGAAAATCTTTTCATATTACACGTTTTATTTAATTCCATCTAAATAAATATTTCATACAAGAACACAGCTCTGTTTTCATGCCAAATAGCAGTTCTTCTTGTATTGGAATATTGACTTTGATTACAAATCGTGTTCTATTAACACGACAACAACTCGTACTTCATAATACTTAACTCCAATGAAGCATCTTCGTATGCGTAGAATAAGGAAATTGCGTTTCTTAGATCATAAATAGAAATGTGTATACAACAGAAAAAACAAATAAATAGTAGATAACATTTTTGAATAAGAAATAATGCAATATTTACAATGATTATCTTAATGTAAAAATAAAACGATGACATAACAAAGGAACATTGTACGAAGTCGAGTTCGTTGATTTTCATCATGCGATGAAGAGTAGGACACGTGTTAATGAATTGCTATTTAGTTGTCCTAAGCAAATATAAAAGGACGAAAAAAAGAGTCATTCGTCGTTTTTAGGTTCTCTATTTATCTTCATCTTCATTTCGATTTCTATCTATTATATTCCAGAGTTGATACAAGACGAACAAATAAAAAAGCAAAAACGAAAGAATAAACGATTGAATACTGTAAGTGTGCCCAACGCTCTATGTTTTCTTGATAAATACTCAAAACACGATTGCATATATTCATAAGTTTAATCTAACAGAAGTGCAAATTCTGTTGATTCATATTCACCTATTTATCTAATGTCTTTTGATATGAAATTATGTGCACTGTTTCTATTCTGTCTAGTAAGATCGTACTGATATATTGTCATGAAAGCCAAAGCAGATTTTCCACCGGAACGACAAAGTTTTAAAGCTGCTATCGAAGATAATATTGGATCATGTATTGTTGCTCTATTATCATTATTATCCTTAGTATCCGCTATGTTTTGGCCTTACATCAAGATGAATAAAGTTTTCACTGAGCATCTACTTGATATGACATCATTTAATGATTATCTTGTTGTAAATGTGTTCGTGTTTGCTTCATATACATTTCAATATATATTAACAGCTGGAATATTAGAATATACAAATCCACGAGGTTTCAAATCTGATTTGTTAACAAATAAACAACGGCAAGAACGAAACCGACAAATACGAAAAGAAATTACATTAGGAATTGGTGCTATGTTTGGTATTTTTTATACGAAATGAATTCACAAAGAATTAAAATATTCTTATTTTTTTTCGCCTAGGAAACACAACATATGCTGTAGCATGGATGTATTTTATTGAACCATATTTATGGACAACAAATTATTTTGTTACCAATCAATATACACTATCATGGTTTGCTTTTAATGTTCTTGTCTATGCGTTGATATTTGACGCATGGTTTTACTGGACACATCGTGCATTACATGAATCGAAATATTTATGGGATCATATTCATACAACTCATCATGCATTTAAAAATCCAACTGCATTTTGTCAAGATGCTGTTCATCCATTAGAAGGTCTTGTACAAGGTATGATAGAGTTTTTGTGTGATAAAATTGAATTTTTTGCTTTTTTTTTCAAAAAAATAACAAGGTCCGGTTGGCCATTATTTAACAGTGCTTGTCATGCCTGTTCATCCAATTGCTTTAGCATTTTTCGGTTTATTTACTTCGTGTTTTGCTAGTAAGTAGATTTATACTTAATCTATTGAATTAAATTATTTTGGTATTTAGTCGCCGCTCATGATGGACGTTTAGGAGATTTAAATCATCATTATGCTCATCATAACAAAGGTAATGTTTCTATTTACATATGATAATGAGATGATATTAAATTCTTTTGTTTGCTACTCTTTTATCTCTCCATATAGGCAAAGGTCGTTTACAAAATTTTAATTACGGTCTTTACTGGGCACTGTGGGATCTAATCTGTGGAACTCGTTATCACGATGGTCCTAATAAAAATGATGTCAATGATTCGTCGAACATAAAAGAGCAGCCAGAGAAAAAGATCACATGATTTATTCTATTCTCGTCGAATTCGCCTGTCTAATTTTATTCTTTGATCCAACTCGACAATGAGTATACATGATCCACATATACAATACATTGCATGTCTAAGTATATACGGTGATCATCTGTCGACATCCATTGTTTCTTTATTTTTCTATTCCAATCGAATTAATTTTAATAAAAAGAGAAATCACATATCGATGATTGTTTTTCAAATTTATTTTCGTTTGATTTCTAGTATGCAACACGTATTTATTGTCTTGCACATAAATTTAATACAAAATTCGTAGTTCATTACTCGCGCGGAACTAGCGACGAACGAAAGATAAAATAGTAGCAAAAAAACAAATAGTTAGTTTTGAAAGAAAGAAAAACAAAATGAACAACAATATCATTAGTAAGAAGCAAGCGAACAAAGAGAACCCGACCAAATACCTGAGATATGAAGTGAACAGAGACGCGCAAGAGAAAGTGACTAACTCTTTCCCTAGTGACAGATAAAAAAAAGCAACCGGCTCGTTCATTTCTATGTTATATTTTCAATAGGAAGCAAATATATGATAATGATGACAAGCTAATACTGATTTACTCTTATCAAAATAGCTCAGATACAGTATTAACAGTTACATAAAATCAAAATGCTGATATAGTTTGCAATGCAATTTACAACAGTAAACAAAAAGAACAAAGGAATGTATACATACATATATATATATATATATATATGTTCCATATTAAAAATGATGAATGAGAAGAAACCGGCGAGAAAATTTGCTCAGCGGAATTTTTATATAATCATGTATGTTTGACAAACAAAAGAAAAACCAATTAATGGTTAATGAAGACGAGAGAGAAAAAAAATTGAGAAGTCCGTAGTCCAATACACGAAACAAACACATGTCGGGCATAAGAGAACGAAACAAATACTTGACAGACATTGTCTGTTACTCATTAAGGCAAATAAACAATGAAAATAAAAACTAACAAATAAAACAACAAGTGATATATTGTGCTTTTTTTTCGATAATAAAGAGAAAACAAAATTTTTTGAAACATTTTTTTCACCTGGTTAATTAGTCGATTTCTATACATCATGAATACTAATTTCCATAGGTGTTCGATCGTGTGTACTCGACGAGTAATATGTACGGAGTGGGGATCCGCTTTCACTACTATGATTTGTTGTTGATGCATTAACACCAAATGCATTCGATGATAAAAACCACGATATACTACGATTGGGTGACGATGTTGTTTGTATTGGAGAATCATTTAATGGTTGAGGTATAGTTATATTTATTGATGATGATGGTGTTAAACGTGTCATGAAATTTGTTTGGCTTTGTATCGATGAGTTTGTTGTTGTTTTTGGTGTTGATGGATTATAAAGTAGATTTTGTTTTTCTTGTAATTTAAGTGTCTGCGAGAAACGTTGTGTTTTAAGACGACTTACAGCTTCTTTAATTAAATTTCCTTCATCAATTAATCGTTGTAATAAACATGGTAGACGACGTTTTCTATTGAAAGTATTTATATTGTTCGATAAATCTACATGATATTTATGATGGTGATGCTGAAAACGATTTGACATCGATGATTTATTATGAATATTTGTTGATTTCCATGCACCTGTTGATATTAATGAATTATTTAATGGCATAGAAGCAATATCGATTGTATTATGTAATGGTTCAATACTACTCGATTGTAAACGCTTTAGATTTGTTGTAGACGGCGATGGCGATACGTTTTTTTCCTGTTGTATTACACCTAAATGTCGACGACAACCCGAACGAAACCGAAGTATTTCAGTTAATTTATCCTAATTAGATTTAACAAAGAAAAAAGAAAATAACGATTGAAATAAATCAATTTCTTTATTTTTTTAATTTACCAGTAGCAAACTTAATTCAGGTGTTGATGTTGACGATTCAATATTCGTTTCAATGTCATTCGACATTATTGGCGATGATGAATGTGTATTATCCGTTGAAGCATTTACTAATGGTGATGGAACGTGAGTTGTACGACTGATAGAACACATTGGTAATGTATATGAACGTTCTTGCATTTAATTGTCAAATAATGACTAGAAGTATTCTTAGAAGTATTGTAGAACAAAGCGGCTAACAATAGAAATAGACGAATGCACCAGCTGACGATCAATTGCTAACGTCCATGAACATCGATTTTGTTTTGTATTAGATCTGAAAGTAAATAAAGATAAGTCAAAATTAGATTGACTAGTCAATGAAGATAACGACGTAAAATTTGTTGCTGATTGGCAACAACAGAAGTAATAAACGATAAAAAAGAACAGACATCGAAGACGAGAGAGAGAGAGAGAGAGAGAGAGAGAGAGACAGGCAGACGAGAATAGTTATATTAAGCGAGGAGGCGTAACTCGGCATGATATAAAGCAATTTTTTTTCTGGTATATTTTTTAGCTAAATAAATATATTTATTACAAGAAAAGAAAAGGTTGTCATCATAAGATAAGAACATAAATTTTTTTGAAATAGAACTTCTTAAATAACAGAAGATAACTATTAGCACGAAAATATTCTATCATAAATCATTCTTGTAAATATTTATAAATTTCAAAGTATATAAATAACTTCAATCAGACCAGGCAAGTTTATATATGCATGTGTGTATGCACCATCGAAATCAATTTGACAATTTTACTATACACTACTCACACTACACTATTTCTTCGTTCTCTCTCTTTTATTCTATTTATATATTCATTCGTGGTAGTATAATGGTTGCCGTCGCCGTTGCGGCATGTCTTTGTATGCCTGAAAACAACGCGAATCCATGCATACTCTCTACTGCTGCAACAATCGGAGCAAGCGACCGAGAGAGAGAGAGAGAGAGAGAGAGCGCAAACCAATTTCTAATAACAAAAAAACGCAAAGTACACGATAGAGAGTAAAAACGAGTGTGAGAAGGTAATGAGCAAATATTAGACTTAATCGTATAGAAATTTCAGATGGATCATTTACAAAACGTCAAAGTAACATCTGTTACAGCAAGTATATTTATGGCTACATTTGACAAGATAAGTGACTTTGATATGTGTACGCTACCTTTAATAATCATTGTACATGCACTAAGACAAACGTCACAAGTGGCATCGCGTTATTACTAGCACTGCAACTACTATAGAATTCGCGCTCTCTCTTTCCTTTTCTGTCTGTCCGTTTGTGTATTCCTTTATTCTTTTCCTCTAGGTTTCTTTTTCTTTTTCATTTAATATTTTTTTTCGCACACTTCCTGTGTGCTCGGAAGATGATGAGGAGGAGACGAAGAGACATACACACATACAAATCACTGGTCACTATTACTATAGCAAAAAAAAAAGAAATAGGAAGAATAGAATAGAAACAAATCAGATGCATACGGAGCACACATAGCTATATCTATCATTTCACAGCATCACAGTTTGAAAAACAGACACATTCAATACGTATGTTTCTCTTTATTGGCATTGTGCCAAAAAAAAGGACAGAAAGGAGAAAAACAAAACAATATATTATCGAATCAGTTTTTTTTTCGTTCGTTCTTCAAAACTGTCTCATGTAGTTTTTTATGAAATAGTTTGTACATAGATCGTATTATTGTACATGTACAACTCGTATGATTTCACGTTTGACAGATAGTATACAATACGAAAAAAATAAAATAACAAGTAAAAAACAAAATAAAATTGAATGATCAAAACTATATTCATACGTACTTGGTCTTCTGCCAAATAAGTCCATATATGCAGAGGCTATATAAATATATACGTAAATGTATACATTGATATAGTCATATGCATATCTATTCTGTGCATGACTGCGTGCGGTGGTGTACTGAAAGAAAGAAAAGCAGCTCATGCTGTCAAAAGAAGAAGAAAAAACGAAAGATAACTTGCATACATATGTATTTATGTGTGTATGCATATATATATATATATACGTATTTACTTGATTCATCTGAATGATGTCTTTATCTTCATTTAAAATTATTCGGTAGGGTTCAAGTTATTTGGTATATTAAGATGCATAGACTATGATTCACATTACAATCGATGAAATAAAAGAGGCTGGTCCAGTTCAACTATTTTCTAAACGATGAGAGAAGGCGATGAACGAGAGTCGTAATGGGAAATCGAATAGGCAATCGAGCAAAGAGAGAGAGAGAGAGTTACCCATCGACCGGCAATCACCAACAGAGTAATAATGTCTTTGCTTAGTAATCGATCATAAAGAATGTTCACATATGTTTAATGGGGCGAGAGGAAGTCAATAGAAATCAAATGGTTATCGTTATGGCTAGTGATATATTGAAATAAGTGCAAGTGAACTATTCTGTTTAAACTTTTCATCACACCTGTATACAAACAATAATGAAATTTTCAAAAGACAAATTCATATGACTACCTAGTCACATTTACATACCTTTCATAAATAAGCTTATAATGGGAATATTATTATCATATTAGTTATTGTCAAAGCTTATCATTGAATTGAGTCGATGCAAATGAGACAGTATATTCGGCCGCGTAAAGGCAAAAGGGAAGAAGAAGAAAAAGAAGACGAAGAAGAAGAAGAAGAAGAAGAAAGAAAGCCATGCTCGTGTTACCTTGCCGTTCTTGACATACTCCTAACACTTCGCAATGCAATGTGATAGACGCCAAAGCGAATGAGCGAACGACAAAAACAAGCTGCAGCAAACATCAACTGCCTGAATGACAATGTTAGTAGTAAATAAGACAAACTCATATATATATATATATATATAAAGTAAATTTACACAAGCCGCACAAATACATACACCCGCCAAATGTTGTATAAATTGAAAAAGATGTAAAGAAAAAGGAAAAAAAGAAATTGAACTTATCAACGATAACTAATAAAACATAAATCAATCTGACAAGAGTTCGAGTGTTATATCCCAAGACTAGTTCAATGATGACGATGATCAGATATGTACTTTTAAGCTATTATCAACGATGTGACAATGATGCAATCATTTGCACTGAATTGAACATCGTTAGTATCACGAATACGAGTGTCAGAATAGAAAGACTACGGAATGCACACAATTTCATCGAGATGGACGACTTCCACTTCTTTCTTTCTTTTTGTCTGTCTTTATTTCTTTTTCTCTCTGCTCTCTCCCTCTCTCTCTCTCTCTCTCTCTCTCCACTCTATTTCTTTTTTACTTTGACCAGAGGGATTTGATTGACAAACACACACACATACACATTCAAGAAGAAAAAACCGAGAGGAAATTGCTATGACTATATCCGGCATAAGAAATGCATGTGTCTCTTGTGTGACTACTATCGGCTTATCTTATGTTTTATCTCATCTATCCAAGGTGGATCTTCTACACTGCTATATGTCAAGAGAGACAAAGAGATACAGAAAAACGCAGAGAAAAAAACGGAACGGGAAAGGCCATTAAGAATTGTTGCTTAGCTTGAGAGATGCTACTAATTGATGTCATCTAAAAGAAACGCACGTACGAGCATACAGGAAAAAACTGTATGTTATAATTCCCCGTTTCTTTTTTATTTGACTTCTATCACTACGTTGAGATGCATTTCTACGTGTACACAACATCTTTTTACCGGAAGACAAATGAGCTGGCACAAGATAAACATGGAATCATGTAATAAAGACTTTGTTTTTTAAGTACTACAAATAATAGATGACAGGAAAAGATATAAATAATATAAATTGGATGAAAGCTAAAAATGATTTGATATATTACTTTTTTTGGTTTTATTATTACTGAGAGATGAAAAAGAATACATGTAGAGAAATACGTGCGGCTAATATAATCGACTCAATCTTTGCTTTTAATACTAGAATTAATCGATTTTGTTGGTTCGTTTGATTTGTTTGTAAAGAATACATTACTACTGTAGTAAATGACAAATTTCATCATGATACGCATATGTCATTGAATGGATAATTAGCCCTGCTGTGCGGAGTATATATATATATATATTTATATGGATGATACTTTTCAACAACTTAGAAATCTAGACTTCATCGAATTTGCCCTTTTCAATAATCATCAACAGAAAAAAATAACAACTGTCTTATCTTATATATATTTACATTGATAAATTAGAAATTCATATCATCAATATAGTTTGTTTTTGTATTGATGTAGGAAAAAATATATATTATTAAGCAAATTATCAACGGAAATTTTAGGCTTCAGTCTTCATTCATCGTATTTCAATAATTAATTCAACAAGATTGAAAAGCACATACTTAACAAGATTATGCCATTCTTGTTTTCTTCTTTTATGTTCTCGAATGAAAGAGAAAAGAACAACTTTGTAGATATATATATATTCCGCATTGAATCAACCTCAATGATGATGATGATGATGATGATGATGTTGATGACAGAATCCATATTGGCCTTGCTTTAGTTATCTTGTCGTAGGAAGCACAGCAAAACTTGATTAGAACGTAATCACACGTCGTCATCATTATCATTTGTTTATATGCAAAAAAGAGGAAGAGAAAATAGAAAATCGACGCACGTAGGCATATGCATATTTATTAAACGACCTAGCACTTATCATCATCGCTTTCTGTTTCTCGCATATAAAAAGAAAGTAGACAGTACGTAACCTTTTTTTTTTGTCTAATAATGATGACAAAATTTAATATAGGCTTTATAATAAAACAAAACTTTTCCTGACACGAATATTTCCTCTAGGCAATCGTACAATGTGCATGTCATGAGCAGAGAAACGAAACAGGCAAACACATGCAGGCACTTCGCGTCTCTTATCTTAGCGCATCTATACCGGCGCCAATGGGTTTCGCCGTATGTGATGGATAGAGTAGAGAAAGAAGCTCGATGTTGTTTACAGATCGATGCACTAATTGGCACGCACACATATACAACATTCACTAGAGAGATAGTTAAATAGATGGATAGCCGACCGGATGTGATGCGACGAAGCCAGTGTTGCACAAACATACACTTTCCTTTCTTATCGCCTAAAGGCGGGCATGCATCAACATGGGTGGAACTTTTTCCCAGAATTTGATCTTCGTCGTCATCATATAGATATTTATCGAGAAAAAAAAATCATATTTGATGAAATATTAAAAACAAAGAAAAAGAAGAGGAAAAAAATGACCTACACTTAATGAATATCAACTTTCGATGATTATTAAATGTCACTATTCGTTAGAATTTGATGAAGGGCATAGACAAGAAGAAGAAGAGAAAAACGTCAAGAATAAACATAAGATTCCAGTTTCATTAACTATAGATTATGTTATTCTTCGATGTTCGCTATGCAAGATGTAGAAGACAAATAATAATATACACTACAAATTGTTACTATGGATGACTTTAACAAAAAGAAAACAGTGTCGAAGTCACTTGCGAACTTTCTCTACTACTGGAAAATATCATATAATATATTCTAAAGATAACGAACTCTATTCTTTTACTTCATCAATAAATCTCATTGAGTATTAACGAAGAGAATAAAATTGAATATATTATACAATAAATAAAACATCGATCTTATAAAAGATGAATGGGGCTCTGTTTCACACTAGCTCTATTTTCTGCATCTATAAAAATTTCATAAGAGTTGTGTGACTGACTTTTAATTTTTAAATGCTTATCTTTTCTTTTTTCTTTTGCTATAATTAACACAAAATTGCTTTTAAATATTTCCGTTCTATTCTTCTTGGAAATATTTATCTAGGGCTATATCAATTATACAAAAAAAATAACATTCAGAAACAGGATGTCATTCTATTTCTTCTAATCATCAAATAATGTCGTTTTGTATTCAAAGAATTCATCCCTCGATATTCGAAAGTGCATCGATACATTACTGTGATAGAAAAGAAGAAGAAGACGAAGAAGAACAACATCAGCGATGGTATTCAACTACTCAAAACAAAAAAAGAATTCGTCCTTTTCTAATTAACAAAAAATAAACAGATTCATATTTATAGGAGATTGTATGACCTTAAGATCCGTTCCTAATTGAGCATGACATTACCTTACCGCTAGCGTTTCAGTTGATATAATAGCTTAAGTACAAAGGTCAAAACAGAAAGTTTTGCTATTTAAGTCATGTTGAAAGATCTATCGTGTATATATATATATATATCGTTACATTTAATGGCTTAAATAAATCTTACTAAACAATGATTTATTGCTTTTTTTTTCTTTGATTGTATATAAATTTCCATGAATGTATGACATACAAAAATTTATTGAATGTTAATGAATATTAAAAATAAATCATCTGTCATGAGGGCAGCCTGTACAAACAAGAACTTTCTTGATCTTGAAGAAATTGTATTCGATCTTTCACTATCAATAATAGGAAAATTTTCTTGTCTCGAGAATCGATCTTGAATAAAGTGAATTCAATTTTTAAGTAATTCTCAGAATAGATTACAACGGCACAATGTATAGCATATAATAAAATTTTCACTTCTAATGCTTGATCTTTTCGGACGATTTATCGATAAAATATAAGAATCAAAATAGCTCGTTTTACAAGAGAAAATTCTCTACAGACTTTCATTGATATAGAGTTCATTCTCTGCTCCATGTCACGAACTAGGGCATCGACGATTCTTTGTTTTTAGATTCATACTTTTTGAGTAGAAAAATTTCGATGTCTCAAAAGACTAAAAAAAGAAAGAACAAATGGCCGTCTCATTATATAAGTACTCTTTTGTATAATAGTCAGAAAAAAGCTTAATTCAAAAAACGAGCGTTTACTATACTCCGAATCTTGACAAGCTTTTTCACACAATAGAAAAAAAATCAGTTCGATACAATGAAGCTCCTTAGAGATTTCTCGGATGCACGATAAAAAAGAAGGCATAGAACGAGAGAAACTCAAATAGATATTTTTTTCGCCCTCAAAACAATAATCTTTTTGACGTTAACAATGATGGGAATCATTAAATGTTTTGTTTTCGCCCAGAAAAGCAGATGTCGAATACAAAAGAAAATCATGTCATTTATAAAACATCTAGCCCCGGACTATCGTCTCATCTACTTATCTTAATTTTGACAATTGAATTATGTTTAGGGGAAGGACTAATTAGTTTTGATGTCGTCTAGTTCGATTATCTTTGAAAAAAAGAATTTTCTCAAGATACTTGTTTTTTGTTTGATCGAATAAAGATGATTTTAGTGTTTCTAATATAGATTAAAGAATTATCAAATTGATGATTTAATCTTGTAGGAATTCTTTTTTTTTTGTATGTGTAAGTCACTGATTTGCTTTTATATGGCGTGAATGGTTGAATGAAGCAATCTTTTTCATGGCATATATTATGTTATTGTGAAATTTTTTTTTTCTTGCGCCGAAGGAGACATCTACATAGTATTACGAAATTTTCTTCACAAGTAGTGAAATTTAACACAATTCTTCAGAGAAAAAAAATCTATCGGTGCCGGGAATTGAACCCAGGCCAAAGCATTTAGAGTGCTTTATCCTAACCACTAGACCACACCGACTTTATATTTTTGTTGGCCAGTCGTCCTATAAAACTATATTTTGTCAACGATGAACTTATGTATTTTAGTAGTCAGCCATTAAAAACTATATTCACTAGTTGTGTAGCATAGTCAAATTTATAATTCATTCATTATCTGTACATGAGAATAATTCAGATATTCGGCGGCATTCAAAACTTTTTATAATATTAAGTGGAAAAAAACATAATTTTCGTTTGATACCAGCTTTGAGTGCAGAAACATATTTTTCAATTTATTACGCGATCTTTTTTTGTTTGTTTTACTATCTCTTTCCCCTATCGGCACTTTCAAGTGAATCTTGAATCTGAATCCATAGAATTTTCAGAATATTGCTGAAGATTCTGTTTAAACAAAAAACAAAATGTAAATTCAGATTAATAAAATATTTTCTTTGCTATGAAAAATTTATAAACAAATATTAGTAGCTGTCAAAGCACAATGAGATTCTTGTAGCTTTAGCTTTCAAATGGTTGCAGGTGTATAACTGCTATGCAGATGCTGATGAGAATTGTACTCTCAGGCTGATAGAGAAGAGATTGCAATTTAAACCAATGATAAAACTATTACAGACAGAAAAGCAAACTTGATCTACTTTTATTTAATTATATCAGAGCTAAGACAAGGAGATCCGACTGCAAATCTGAGCTTGAACTATATGACTTAATCACGAGATAGCTATCTTACAAGAATGAAAAATAATATCGAAATTAAATATCTGAAGTTCTCTGCTAATTTTTATTTTTTACATGGAAAATTTTATGTAACAAGTTTAACATCACATCAAAATCGTAAAAATTAATGTTGTCTCAAGCATTCTTTGAGATTCTTCTGCCGTATTAGACATATGAATAATGTTCTCTCTCTCTCTCTCTCAAGATTTGAAGTGTGACATGTCTTGTCAAATAAAATCTATGTTGAGACATCTTCAGTTTTTTTTGAAATGATTTGAAATCAAGATTTCCTTTACTTAGACAACTGAAACGAAAGTGCTTTCTATCAATCAATGATAATTAAATTTTATATTTAGTCAAGTTTATTTTTATTGTTTCAATGTCATTAATAAAAAAGAAAGAAAACACAGACTTTTCAAAGTTAAAAATTTTTTCAATAGAAAAAACGTAAACAAAAATTTATATTTTAGCTAGGATAGCAAGTTCAATGTTTTATCATGCATCAGATGTTGCAGTTGCATTGTAAGCAGGATTTGTAATCGGACCTACTGGTATTGAATCAAGTAATCGTGTACTTGTACTTACATCTCTGAAAGATATAGATAGACGAGTGATAAATAATTTTAATCAATAAAATAAAATATTTTCTTTTCTACAAACCTAGCAGCGCGTATCTTCGGCAAAACATAGATATAACCAATAACAATTAAAGCAATGGCAGCAAGTGCACCAAATATTCCACCCAAAATAGCACCCACTGTAAATATTAAAATGGATTAGCATGTTTTAAATGAAGAATATTTTACTTACATTTATTCTTCTTCGCTGGTGGCACCTTATTTTCACAACGTAGACCATTGAAGCCAGGTTTGCATCTTAGGAAAAAAATAAAAATCAATGCAAAATGTAAATTCATTTAGAAAATAAACTTACTCGCAAACTGGTTTACCAAGTTGTGGTCTACAACTACCTTCGTTATAACAAAAGAATTCAGCACATTCTAAACAACGTATTAAAAAAATTAGAATGAATTTCGTCTTACAAAAAAAAAGACATAGATTTACCAGCATGAGTAGTCGTAGTTGTTTTTGTTGTGGTTGTTGTGGTTGTTTCTCCTTCGGGTGTTGTCGTTGTTGTGGTTGTTTCTCCTTCGGGTGTTGTCGTTGTTGTGGTTGTTGTTGTTGATGGTCCTGTATATGGTGTTGTTGTACCTGTGTATGGTGTTGTTGTAGGAACTGTTGGTATGGTTCCATTGTATTTGATGCATTGTGGTGTAAATGTTACATCATCGATTGCCATGATTGCATCACGATCAATACCAGTTTTTACGCCAATAATAATCTATTGAATTAAAATAATTTCAAATAAATATAATTATTAAAAAAGAAATCGTTTTCTTTTGTTTTTACTTCAGTTGGCTGAGTTAATACGGCACTTAATGAAACCTCAATAAGCTGCCATGAACATTTTGTTGCGTTTGTTTGACATGATCCAAAACTAGCAAATGGTAACGGTTTGATAACATCTCCTATGACATATCGATAGCCCACAACTAATTCTCCATTATGATTAGCCTTGAAATAGATCCAGAAACGCATTGAACATCCTTGCTGTGTTTCTGCGCCGAGATAATTTGATACAGTCGCCAATGAATCTCTTGGTGTTGTTGCATCTATACGTAATTGTAAATAATGACCCTGAATTAAAGAAGATAGATTTGTTTAAGATAAAAGATTTTCTTTCTCTCTCTCAACATACAAGTTGACTACGTGTTGTATGATCGTATGGTGGTCGTCGATCATATGGTAATATATTTGCACGATATCTTTCCCACATTAATTCACTACCAGCTGATTTTTCCCATTGACAAGAATCTGTTTCAAAATCGCATCTAAATGAAACAAAAAAATAAAGTTGATGTTTTTTTCAACTTTTTCTTTCTTACCTTTGATAATCATAACATGTACTATACTCTTCATCACTACCGTCACAACAATCTAATTCATAATCACATTTACTTTTCTGTGGTATACAGTGTTTGCTACGGCACATGAATGGATTCGGATCTCCAGGAATTTCTGGACATGTTGATAATGCAGGTCGTTCATAACATTGTTCAAAACGGAAATCATCTAGGGCTATATCACCGGTAAATGATGTACCGCGTACACCTTCAACAATCATATTGAATTCCGATGCACATGTTGGTAGATAAGCTGTTCCTTGCCGCCATTCATCGCCTTGATTGCCTTGTAACGACCATATTAATGTATCAACACCGCCGGCACGTACATGAATATTCAATGTATTAATTGTATTGCCGAACATATGATACCTAAAAACCAAACGAAATATTTTTTAGTAGAAAAAAATTAATACAATTTAAATTTTACCAGAATGTAAACATGCAAGTTTTCGATGATTTACGATAGAGTGGACTAATAAGATGAGCACGATCTCCAAAAAGGCCTGTACTTGTTTCCAGATAGATATATGTTCCATTGATACTATGTGTTGTATGATCTGGATTGAAAAGAAATATGTTTTATGAATATTTGTTACATTCAATATAAAATAAAAAAATTGAGATTTACCAGTGCTTGGACCTGTGTCAAGTGATGATGTTCTACCACTGCCGAAGTCCCAACTAAGTTTTTGTTTTCGATCGTTGTTCCATGAACATAATGACTTTTGTTCAAAAGTGCATGTTAATGGACATGATAATTCATCGGTTTGATCTGTACATTCAATATTAAAATTACAGAATTGTTCGACTGGTAAGCATTGACGAGTATTTTGTAGACAATGAGAGAATGTTGCATTACAATATGGACTTGTTACTGTTACATCTATAACAGGCGGTAATGTAGCTGTTGGTAGTAATTGACAACCTGGTGTAAAACTTGTATCATCAACACCAATGTCACCTATGAATAATAGAATTTAAAATTAACAAATAAATTTTCGAATTTAAAAAACAACAACAACAACAACAACAATATACCTTCATAACCAGCACCACGAACACCTTCGATCAGTACTTGAAACGGTTGTTGAACTTTGAGAACAATTTTAGCACGAAGCCATTCATCACCTCTTTGACCATTTTGATTCCAAACTAATGTTAGTGGACCACCGACAGAAGTACGTGTATATATATTTAATGATGCAACATCAAAGCCATACATATGATACCAGAATCGGAATTGACAATCACCTGATGTAGTTGGATTGAATACAGGACTAACAACACGTGCTGTGTCATTTGGTTTTCGAGGTGCACTTGTTTCAAGAAATAGAAAATGTCCTTGTGATGTTCCTAGATATTGATTAAAAATAAGATATATTTTTCAATAAAATCAGTTGTTCGATTTCTACCTAATGTATGATCACGATCAGGACCATATAATTGCCAGAAATCATCATACCAATCAAGATTATTAACTTGATCTCCGCGTATACGTGACCATTTAAAGTCTGCATCTTCATCATGTGACCACGAACATATTGGTTCTGGATTGTGTTCAAAATTACACATGTCGACATACTGCTCACAACTAAATTCATCAGTACTATCTCCACAATCATCACTAAAATCACATAGCTAAAATGCAGCAAGAAGAACAAATTAAAATTTTTTTTCCTATTCGATATAAAACGTAATGATTTTATTACATTATCTTTATGTATACAATTTCCATTTGAACAATTGAATGGATCAGTAAAACCTTCACAATGACCAATGACGTGAGCATCACAATCTTGAAATTGAAAGTTATCAATCGATATATCAGATAATATTGTTGAGCCAACATGAGTTGAAATGAATACAAGTCGAAAACCGGAGCTTCTTCGTCCAATACTAACAGTTATTGGAGTCCATTTTTGACCGATTGTTGTTCGTGGATCAGTCCAAATTTTTGTTGTCAATTTCGAATCATCTTCCAGATAAAGTGCTAATGTGCCATCTCGGTCACGATTACGATATAAACCAAATTTAGCACGGCACGAAGCTGCTGCTGATGCAATACGTTCAGAAATTAATCGACTACTACCAGCAAATGATCCTGAACCACCAGCAACTGTCATAACAAAACCTCTTGAAGTATCTAAAAAAATAGATGTATTCAAATAGAATATAAATTCTTTTTTCCAAATTAATAAAAATCTACTTGTTGTCATATCACCAGGCATGAGTAGAATCGATGATGCATTACGTCTTGCCCATACATAATATTCAGTACTATCATCTTCCCAACCGCAAGACGATTTTTCAAAATCACAATCACCACAATCAAGTTGATCTTCACCTTTTGCACAATCCGGTACAAAATTGCAACGCTAAAAATATATAAAATTGTTTTTTTTAGTCTTCTTTTCTCTATAGTTCATTTTTCCTTTACTTTCTCTTTTCCGATACAAGTGCCATCATCACATGTAAATGCACACGCAGGAGGTGTTGCTGTTGTTCCTGTTGGTCTAGTCGTTGTACCATAGGGTAAAAATGTATCTGAGTTAGCACATTGGGATGAGAATGATATATCATCTAAACCAATAATACCACCACCATCACCTAAAGTTTTAACTTGAATCAATAATTCAAGTAAGAATCCTGTTGGTAATAATAATTCTTGTCGTTCCCAATAATCACCAAGTACTTTTGATGTTGACCAAAGATATGTTGTTGCTCCTGCTGATTGATTTCGAACCATAAATGTTAATAAGCCCGGATTTAATGCACCATTCATATAATAATGAAATCGTACTTTGCAACCGGCCGATGAAACGAGTCTCGATGATCTAAAGTGAGCTAGACGATCAGCTGGTTGATCAAGTGTATTTACATAAACAAAAGCACCAGCTAAATTATTTAATGTATGATCTCTTTCAGGTGCATAATCATTTACTAATTGATAGGCACGTGCACGTTCAAATCGAAGATCCGAAATGCCTATACCAGCAAATTTACATGAATTTATTTCAAAATCACAACTAAAATAAAAATAAAACTTCTTTCTATATATGCGTATATATTTATGTATAATAATTTACCCTGGTATAACAGCAGGTCTTATGCAAGTTGCATTGTTTTCATCACTCATATCACCACAATCATCTGTATAATCGCAAACACGATTTTGATCAACACAACCACCACGTTTACATTGAAATTGATTAGGATTACATATTGTTGTTTCATTCGTAAGTAGAGGTAGATTACAACCGATCCATTGAATATCATCAATTGCTATGTCAGCAAAACTTGATGCTGTTTTTCTTGCATCAAAACGAATTCGGAATGAACGATAGAGACGGCCAATTTTAACAACACCTTTATGCCAACGATTGCTTTGAGTACCTTCTACGGACCATACACGACTTTCTTGTAGACCTTCTATCAGTAATACTTCAAGACGACCAACATTAGCACCTGCCATATGATAATAGAATGTTAATTCACATGTTGCCGATGATTGCTGAAGCGGTGGCGAAAGTAAATGAGCACGTTCATCAATCGTACCGTTGTTTGTTGCTACAATCATATAATAACCACTCGCTGATAATGTTGAATGATCAATTATCGGTCCTGAATTAGTACCAGGTATTGACGAGCCCGCGCGTTGTCGTCGCCATTTATAGGCGCCTGCTGATGGATCCGTATAATTACATAGGCCACTTTCAAAAGTACAATCATAACCACATAGACGTTCATCTTCACCATTAAGACAGTCACGATTGAAGTCACATATTTGACTTGTTGGTATACATTGTCTTTGACCAGCTTTTGTATCACATTGAATGGAACAGTTAGTTGGCATTTGTGGACATGGTCCATTAACAAGTTCGAAATCGTCAAACATTAAACGACCAACACCATTGCCACTGATACCTTCGAATAATAGACGATATACATTTGATGTTTGATTTAATAATGGAGTAAGTGCTATTTGATTAAGTTTCCATTGATTTGTAAAATCTGTAGTATCGTGTTTCACTAATAAATATCGTGCAGTTGCATTAGCAAATGTTTGTCGATTGATTGATACAGACCCTTGAACATTGCCATAACTTCTATAATAATATTGAAAACAATATTGTGCTGTATTATCCAAATCAGGTGATATCAATAGAGCACGACTTGATAATGCAGTTGTTGGCGTTATATCAAATGCTAGATAAGTTCCGAATTGACTTCCTATTGTATTATCTTCAGTATCACCACGTATACGTATCCAATCTACTTCGCGATTTTTTTCCGAATTTTTATACGCACATAAGCCTTGTTCAAAATCACAATTGCCAATTGATGGACAAGCTCGATCTTTGATAAGAACATCATCAATAGCAATATCCTAAGAAGAAATTTTATATTGAAATCAAAAGATTGAAAATAAAACTTACGCCTTCAAAACTCTTTCCGACAACACCTTCAAATATGATATTATACGGTTTCGTTGGTACAATATTAATTTCCATAACATGCCATTCATCAAAACGATTTCCTCGTGAAGTGAAAATTTTCAATGGATTCAATGAACCACCAACATCACGTTTAAAAACATTGAATTCACCGATGTCTATTCCGTATTGATGATAATAGAATTGTAAACAATGGTATTCATTTGATACAGGGAATGTTGGACTAATTAAACGAGCAATATCACCAGGTTGACGTGGAGCACTTGTTTCAATATACATATAGTAACCTGAAATCATAAAAGTTTATTTCTAAGAAATCTTTTCTCATCATCTCTATACCTTCTGTTGTAAATGTTGTATGATCATATTGTGGACCAGTACTAGAACTGAATGTTGAACCTCGATGACGAGTCCAATTAAAGTTACCCGATATATCAGAAACATAACCACAGATATCTTGTGATTCAAAGTCGCAGAATTTTCGTGTGGGACATGATCCTAGAGAATACGAATTTTCTTTTTTCTGCTTCTCTCAATAGGATGAACATACCTTCGTTGGTTGTTATATCATCAATAGCTACGTTATCTGAATCACTGACTGTAATACCAGCAATACCTTCAAAAATAAATTCATAATTGCCTGATGTTTGTCGATAAATAATAGCTTCACGCCAATCGATATCAAGATTTGGCCGTATGCTTGAAATTAATGTTGCATTTCCGTCGAATGAAGCTCGTTGCAATAGATTGAATTTCACTTGTTGTGTACCATAGGCACGATACCAAAATCGTAAACATAAACCACGAGTTGTTACTGTTGTCATCGTACTAATTAAACGTGCTGTTTGATTACTCTTTAAACTTGACGTATCAATAAACCAACCGTCTTCTGTTTGTAGTGTATGATCTATAGAAAACATAAATTAATAAATATTAGAAATCGAGACGATTGTCTTATTCTTACCATATTGTGGACCATTGCCTTGACCTTGTCGTCGTGACCATGTGCCAGATGTTGTTAAATCATTTCTCCATTTACATAAATCATTTTCAAAATTACATGATAGTGGTGTATATAGACCAAGTGTTGTTGTTGTTCGAATTGTTGTTGTGGTTGTTGGAAGTGTACATTGCAAATTTGACTGTACAAGAAGATCATCAATGGCTATATCACCAGCAAATTGTCCACCATGAGTACCTATCATATAGAAAAAGAGACGATCAGTAAAATATCTGCGAGATTAGAGTATAAAACGCGATTTTGATACTGTTGTTATTTATAGAAACGTTTTCTCAACTTATCAATATACGCATTACATATGTGTATATTTTATTTTATTAGTTTTTTTTACCTTCAATGATGAAATAAAATTCTGATCCAACGTTAACTCTGACTGCTCCCATTTGCCATCGATTTCCCTTATCGCCACTTAAACTATACAATAGAATCATGAGTTAGTAATCAAAAAATAAAACGATTGTATTCTACCTCCATTCTAATTGTGGTTTTGATGTTCCGATACGTGTATATACATTTAACGAGCCAATATCTGTTCCATAAAGATGATACCAGAACAGTAAGCAATATGACCCAGCATCATAATGTTCCGAAATAAGCCAAGCATTTGCATTTTGATTAAATAATTCGCTTGCTTCAATATACAAATAGGATCCGCTGGTTGTTCCAAGTGTATGATCAACAGTCGGACCTGTTCCAATACTTGGTGTCGAACCAGAATTGAGTAACCAATCGAAATCATCAAAAACACCATTTTGTCCATTAATCCAACTGCAAAGGCCTTCTTCAAATGTACAAGCTTCGGAATCAGGACATTCACCTTCGACATTTGATATATCATCAATGGCCATGTCTAATAAATAATTGATATATAAATTCAAAATATAAAAATTTTGTCAAAATCGATTTTTACCTCCGGTTGGTTGATAGCCAATAATACCAACAATAAGAATCTTATATGTACCCAAACCAAGTAATGGTGGAATCGTAACACGTGATTGACGCCAGATGTTACCTGAAATGAAACACCAGTGATTAAGTTATAAATTGTTTTATTTTTATTAAATAGATATTTTACCTTGATCATTTGATTTTGACCATATTGTTTTAGCACGAGTTAATTCAGGCTTTTGTTGAATTTGTAATGTACCTTGTGTAGCTCCATAAAGATGATACCAAAACCGTAAACATCGTGGTTGACTGGCTTTATAGCTTAGTGACATAAGATGAGCTTCATCGCCGATTGAACGGCCAGTTGGATCAACAAAAAGAAAATGTCCGTTAGCTGATACAATTGTGTGATCTAAATTTTTTTCAAATAAAGTTTACATACACTCAGTTATTTTCCTTTGAAATAAATAAATACGAACCAATAGTAGGTGTACCACTCGGTGTTGAACCATTTCGACCGCGAGACCATTCAAAATCGCCATCAGCACCTTTTTCCCAACCATCACATAATCCGGATTCAAATGTACATGTATCGCTTGGTGGACAATTACCAAAGGTAAGTTTAATATCATCAAGTGCGATGTCACCTTCCCAACTATTTCCAACTAATAAATAGATCATAGAATTTGATATTTTCTTTTTTTTCTTCGTAATATACTTACCAATGCCTTCGAATATAATTTTATATGTAAGCGTACTTCGAACACTGACTTCGCCTTTTCTCCATGTATTTCCTTGTGATCCATCTTTGGTAAATATAGTTAGATTTGAAATTGATGTTTGTTGCATAACATTCAATGTTCGAATATCAGCACCGAACCTAACATTGAAATTATTTTAATAATAAAATTAAAGAACAAGAGATGCTTTTTTTCTTCTCCTCTTACATATGATAGTAGAAAGCAAGGCAACTTGATGTTGTCGGTGGTATCGATGGACTTGCAAGTCGCGCTCGATCACCAGGTTTTTGTGGAACACTAGATTCAATGAAAATATAAAAACCTGTACCAGTTGTATGATCACCAGGTGGACCAGTACTAGCCGATGGTGTTGCCGATGATATTCGCGTCCAACTGAAATCAGCTAAGCCATTTGTTACCCATGAACAGAAATCTTTTTCAAAATCACAATCAAGTACGCTTCGTGATCGATTTGCAGTACATTGTTCAAATGAGATATCATCGATGGCAACGTCATCTGTCCAAGCTCCAGTAAAATCCAAATTCGGTTCAAGTTCAAAAAATAATTTCCACCCAGCTGGATTAGCACCGACATTAACAGTAGCTCGATGCCAACGATTCGCTGGTGCACTAGATCTTGACCACAGTGCAGTAAAACTGTCTGATGAAAATAATTCAAGTGTGCCAGTAGTATTGCCAACAAGCCAATAATAAAATGTGATTTGACATTCGGCAGCTGATATAGGCAATGGTGGACTGCGTAATTCAGCGAGATCAAAGAAATCACCCATATCGCCAGCAACATGCATGTACCTATGCAAAAACGAAAAAGAAAAGAAATGATTTAATAATGAATTTCAATGCTCCTACGATCCGGCTGCAGTGTTAAGTGTATGATCGAATGCAGGTGCTTTCGGTGAAATAACTACAGCTTCGCTTGCTTTTATTCGAGACCATGAATAAGTACTCCATGAGACATCTTCCCAACCACAGTCATCTATTAATAGAGAATACATTTACTATTGAACTGATTCTTATCTTTATGTAAGCAAACCTTTTTCAAAATTGCATGGACCGCAACGATCCTAAAAAGACAGAAAGTGTTCGTTATATATAGATATAGACACGAAAGATTTTCATACTTCATCTGATGCATCAGGACAATCGGCAGTAAAGTCGCAAATCTAATATAATACGATTTTGTTTTTATGTAAAATGATATATTTTTATAAAAAAAAAGAAACTCTTACTTTGTTTTGATCAATGCATATATCAGTTCCAGTACAACGAAATTGTGCGGCTATTGGGCATGGTGTTGGTGCTTGAGTTGTTGTAATTGTTGTTATAGGTAATTCCGATGATGTATAAGCGCTACATTCCGGTGTAAATACTGTATCATCGAGACCAATGTCACCCATATAACCAATTCCTACTACACCTTCAATTAATACTTGAAATGCTGTTGTATAACTCAATTTTAATTCGTGTCGAATCCAAAAATTTCCTCGTTCACCTAAATAAATTCGAATTCAAATGATACATATGAAAAATAGCATAGAGATCACAGTAGGATTGCTTTCTTACCTGAGACACCAAAGATCTTAACTAATGGTCCGTTCGAATAGAATCGCACATATATATTCAATTCACCCATATCTTCACCTAACATATGATAGTAAAATATCATACGGCAATCAACTGTTTTCGGTTCGAATGTTCGACTAATCAAACGTGCCTTATCTCCATACAGTTGTGGATATGATGCTTCAATAAAAGCATATTGGCCGGTAGCATAGCCAGTCGAATGATCACGATTCGGCTAGAAGTGAAGAGAGAGAGAGAGAAACATAAGCATTCAAATTTATGAAATTAATAATCAAATAAAAATCGACATACGCCAGTTTCATCCGATGGTGATGGTCCTTGATGTAATGCCCATTTAAATTGTGTTGAATTATCATGTTTCCAATCACAGAACGATATATCAAATGTACATGTTTGATATGATGCACATAGACGACTTGATTCATCGGAATGATCACCACAATCATCAGTCATATCACAAATATGAGCTTTAGGTATACATGAACCACGTGCACATTGAAATCGATCTGCTACTGGGCATTGACTTGCACTAACAATCGGAGGTAGATGGCAACGAGAGATTTTCGTATCATCGATAGCAACCCATCCGAATGATGTCGAACGTTTTGAATCAAATGCTATTTGAAATGGTACATCAACGCGACCAATTTCAATATTTACTTTCGTCCAATTCATCATCGATTGATAATGAAATCGTTGTAATGTTGCTCGTTCAATTTGATTACCAGTTAATAACATCACATTTAATTGATTGACTGAAATACCAGTTATATAAATCCAAAATTCCAGAAGACATGTTGAACTTGCTTGACTAAGAACAGGTGTTATTAAACGTGCTGGTGAATTTAGAGTCGTTCCATTCGATGTTGATAAGTACATATAATTACCAGTAGGACTATATGATGTATGGTCAAGTTGTGGTCCTTGATTTACAACGGGTAATATTCCATCTCTACGAAGTTTCCACATAGTTGTACCTTTACTAACATCATTCCAACCGCATAAAATATTTCCTCCATCATCAAATGTACAATTACCACATGAACGTTCATCATCGCCGCCTTGACAATCGACAATAAAGTCGCATACCTTAAAGAGAAAATTTGTTAATTTACAATCGAAGTTTTGTTTTTTCTTTCAAATAATACTAACTTGTGATTTTGCAATAAGTTTTCCGTCAAGACATTTATACATATTCGGAGGTGGTGTTGTTGATAGGCAGTTTCCAGATCGTGTAGTTAAATCATCGATAGCTAAATCTAAAATAATAGATGATAAATAGATTTATTTTTTTCTCTTCTAGTAAAATAAATTTTCTATTGAATACTAACCGCCAATGACTGAACCGACAACAGCTTCATAGACGATAGTAAATCGGCTTGTTCCATAAACAGTCATATTCGGCCGAACAGTGATCTCTTGTAGCACCCAGAATGATCCATGAGTTTGATTGGTTGACCAGATTAAACTCTTCGTATCAGACTTTGGATCACGTATGTAAACATTCAATTGAGCACCAACAGAACTATTCAAAAAGTACCAGAATGATATACATCGAATATCAACTGTCATTAGTTCAGATTCAATTTGAGCTTTTCTTCCTTGAATTGTTTGTCGACGATCTAACCATAGATAGAATCCTACACAGAAAAACAAAAAGAAACGTTTCATCGTTAACTATCTATTATATAAATGTTTGTTCGTGTTATTGTTTTTACCTCCTCGGCTATTTGTTGTATGATCGAGTGCTGGCGCATTAAACAATTCAGTATTGTACGATGTTCGTTTCCATTCAATATCAGCTTTAAGATTTTGAAAAGCACATAAACCAGTTTCAAAATCGCATGAACCTAATTCATTGCATACGCCCGATCGAATTTCAATATCATCTATAGCAATCGAATCCAATGTATTATTAGCATTGTTTAAAATGCCTTCAAATACGACTTGATAAGGTGAACCACTTGCTACTGTTGTTTGTGCTAATTTCCATTGTTTGCCTTGTGCACCATAGACAGTATAGAGAATATTTGGATTTATTGCACCAAATGCGTAAGTTCGAACGTTTAACGTTGCTCCATTTTCTAATATCATATACCATCGGACACATGACCCACTTGTGTCCGGATAGCTTGGTGTTACAAGACGGCCAGTGACAGGTTTTGCTGGAGTATCAGCTTTTAAGAACATAAAATGTCCATGTGTTGAACTGTAAGTAACATCTACAGGTGGTACGGATGCATCAGTTCCAGCTTGATAACGTTTCCAGTCGATTGTATTAGTTGGATCATTGACATAACTACATAGATCGCTACTTTCAAAATCACAGACAGCTTAAAATAAAAGAGAGAACGTTGATGTAGAAAATAAAATGAGGAAAAAAAAGAATTGAAATTTACTTGATGCTGGACACGGTCCAAGATTAATACCAAGATCATCAACACTAATATCACCTTGAAAACCTTTACCAACAATACCTTCGACAACTAATTGATATGCTTGACCGATTGTTTGTTCAACATTACCACGTAATGATATACGACCAAATAACCAGCGATCCCCCTAGAAATAAATTCATACATGTTTTGTTTTTCCAAGTCAATTTTTTAAAATATTTTACTTGATTTCCTTGTTTTTGCCATAGAGCTTTGCCAAGATTTCCGTCTAGATTAAAAGAAAACTTTGTAGATGAGAAATAATTCAAGAACTAAAAGTCAAATTTACTTATTCGTGCATAGATATTTAATTGATAGACATCCGATCCAAACATGTGATAATAAAATCGAAAACATGTGTCATCATTTGTTGTAACAATATCAGGACTGATTAACCGAGCTGTATCATTCGGTTTAGATGGAAAACTTGTTTCAATATAGATGTAATACCCAAATCTCGACCCTGTTGTATGATCACCATCAGGTCCTGTTCCAGGACTTGTTGTTGAACCTGTTCCAACGATCCATTTAAAGTTCGTTGTATCATCATGTGTCCAGAGACATGTACATTTACATTCAAAATTGCAATCATAATTTGAAGGTGCTAAATGAAAAACAAATCATATTCGATTCTTCTCATCTTTAAACGTATACATACGATAAGTTGTAGGTGACACGGATCCACTCGGTGTTGTAGATACTACTACTGCCGAACATGTAATACTCGGCGACCAAACAGCATCATCAATTGAAATATCGCCTGAAACAAAACATCATAAGAAACGTAAGATATATCATATCATTCATGTCTTTCTTTTTTTACCTTGAAAACTAACTCCAACAACACCTTCAACTATAATTCGTAGATTTTCATTAGTTTGTAAAGTTACGCCAATATCGACATTTAATATATTCCATTGGTTTCCTTGTTCTCCTTGAAGTCGATACACTTCTGTCATTGGATTTGTTTGAGTACTTGTATAAATAACTAATGAGCCAATATCTTCACCATGCATATGATACCATAATGAGAAACAACCTTGCCCGACTACTAGATGTTCACTAATGATTCGAGCGGTATCATTCAGTTTAGCTGGCAATGATGATTCAATATAGAGATAATGTCCTTGTGCAGAATTAGTTGTATGATCTATAAAATAGAGCAAAAAAATAAAATATCTCTAGTATGATTAGATCTAACAAAATCTTACCAACGGTTGGTCCAGTACCAAATGATTCTGTTTCACCCGATTGAAGTAGCCAATCAAATGTATCCTCACTTTGTTGCGTCCAACTGCAGATAGTTCTACCTTCAAAATTACAATTGATTGGTGCCGGACAGTAACCAAGTGTAAGTATAATATCATCGATGCCAATAACAACATTTGAAGAAGATCTTACTGCTTGAAATACTGCCGAAAATGCACTAATACCACCATTAATTGAAACTTGCCCATAACGCCACGCACTTTCATAGATATCATTCGACCAGAGATTCGATTCGACTTGTGAACCAACATTCTGTCGAGCAACACTTAATTTACCAGTTGTACCACTTGGTCCGTTGACAAAATACCAAAATTTCAAACATTCATCACCTGCATTTGTGTATGGTCGACTGACAAATCTATAGAACAGAACAGAACAACATCAATATAAAATTCTAATCAATGAATTAAATCGTACTTCGCTGTGTCTTGAGTAGCCATAGCAAAATAGCCAAGTGATGTTGATGATGTATGATCTTGATTGACAAAATTCGGTAGATTAGTTGCTTGTTGTCGTATCCAACTTGCAGCTGGATTTGGTTGAAACTCACATAAATCAAGTTCAAAATCACAAACACGACTAGGTGGACATGCTGATCCACTCAGGAATATATCGTCGAGTGCAATATCACCAAGAAAACCTTTTCCAACGATGCCTTCAAATGCAATACGCCAACCGTACACACCAGTTGAATTAAGACCGTATATTGTTTGTGTTGCACGATGCCATTGATTACCTTGCGTACCTGATTTAGTCCAAACAAGTGCTGATGATATATTATCTTGACTAATTGGTACAGTTTGAACAAATACATTTAATGCACCAATATCAGGACCATACATATGATACCTAATTGTATAAATAGATGTTGATTGATTTTTGTTTTGAATAAAAAAAAAAAGAAGTTCTACCAGAATGTTAAACACCGAGGAGTAGACGATGGAAATTGTAATGCTGAAATCAATCGAGCACGTTCACCTGGTAGTCTATAGGATGAAATAGATTTTTGATAATTAGACATAAATACAATGGTTGATTCTAGTTTTTACCTTGGAAAAGATGTTTCAATATACGCATAATAACCTGATCCAGTTGTATGATCTATGGGGAAAGAAATTCTTTAGGTTTGGATAATAAAATAAAAATATGATGTTAACATACCAAAGCCTGGTCCTGTGCCTGATGAACTTGTTTCTGTACTTACACGTTCCCATTCGAAATCGGCTGAGTCATCTTGAAAGAAGTTACAGAAACCTTGTTCAAATGTACAATCAATTGACGAGCTAATGGCACAAAAGAAAATCTTAAGAAAAGAAAGCAAATTGTATGTTTATCTTTTACCCAAGTTCAGGTGGAGATCCTGCTTGACAATTGTAAAAATCTATGTCATCAATACCTATAGCATTATTTACGTCCGGTGATCCATCGATTTCTACAATAAATAATATATTTCATTTTGAACAAAAGAAAAGTATTTCTATATGTATATATACCAATAACAAATCGTTGTGTATGACGTCCAATATTAACAACTGCCTGTTTCCATTGTGGTCCGCTTGAATCGTCTATGCTTTCAATAAATACGAATGAATTGAAATCGTCACCATCATCTCGAATATACACCGCGATTCTGCTCGCGTCCACATTTGCATCATAATTCATATAGTACCAGAATCTCAATTGACATTCAATACCGGCTGGTCCTACAATTGGTGAACGTATTGATGCATACGCAAAGAAATCACTTGGTGGTACAGTAATATAAAATCCATTTCTTGTTGTATGATCACTAGGCGGTCCCATATTGGTCTGTCCCGTTGCTAATACCCATTGGAACTCTGAATACGAATAATCTTTCCAACCACATAAGGTTCCATTGTTATTATCAAATGTGCATGCGCCGCATTCAGCTTCATCACTGCCACCTGGTGTTGGACAATCAACTTTAAAATCACATACTTTTTCTATATCAATGCATTGCCCATTTTCTACACACATAAATTGACCGGTGGCCCCACATTGATTTGTTGTTGTTGTTGTTGGTAGTGGAGTTGTATCAGTTGGTAAAATAACATCTGATAAAATACAACCTGTTGTAAATGATGTATCATCAATAGCAATATCTCCAGCAAAACCATCACCAACGACAGCTTCGAGTACGATTTGGAATGGTTGACTATTCAATAATGCAAGATCAGTTCGCTCCCAGAAATCACCAGCTTCAGTATTTTTTGTCCAAATTCGACTCATGGGTCCACCATTAGCGGTACGTGTGTAAACATTGAGTTCACCAATATCCTATTATGGCAAAGATTGAAATCATGTATCAATAGAAAAGAAAAAGTTTCTTTGAACTAAAACAATGATCGGTACTTACTTCGCCGTACAAATGCCAATAGAATCGAAATCTACATCCACCTCCCGTATTATTCATAACAGGTGATAAAACACGAGCTCGGTCACCTTTAACAGCTGGAAACGATGCTTCGAGAAAAATGAAATGACCACTGGGCAAACCAAGTGTGTGATCACGTTTCGGTCCAGTGCCAAACGAAGATGTTGCACCTTGTCCAAGTTCCCAATCAAGATTATCAGTTTTGTCTTGTACCCATCCACACAAACCTGTTGGCTCTTCAAAACTACACATAACATTACTAGTACAATTAAGTTCATCGGAATTATCACCACAATCATCACTATCAAGAAAAAAAAAACAGCAGCAACATCAACTATTAGAAATTTCTTATTTTCCATCGAAAAATAACTCACGTAAAATCGCAAATACGATTTTTTGGTACACAAGCACCACGTTGACATCGAAATTGATCACTTGTACAATTAGGTCGTATAGCTGGAAATTGACAGCCGAGTAAACGAATATCATCAATAGCAATGTTGCCATCCTCCCAGCCCTTTTCTGCTAAAAATTGTAAGCGCCATGGTCGCGCAATACGACCGAGTGGGATTATAACACGGAGCCATTGGTCACTATGAGTATGTTCTTCTTCCCATATATCAATAGAATCATCACCTTCGATTAAATGTACACTGAGAAATTGATCGTTTATCATATGATGCCAAAATTCTAATTCACATGTTGCTGAGCTTGGCTGAAGAAGTTGTTGTAATTCAAATATAGCTTCATCCCAAACAATACCGTCACTTATTCGTACATACATATAATAACCTTGACTAGTATGAGCTGTGTCTATATTACAATAATAATACCGACAATTATTACTAATATCATTGAAAAAAAATAGAAAAAAAAATACTTACGATCAACAACAGGTCCTAAACTTGCTGGTGCAGCATTCAGACCTTGATCACGTGCCCAAGCAAAAGCACCAGGACTAGAATCGAGCCAACGACATGTATCTTGTTCGAATGTACAGTCACCACAGATTTGTTCATCGCGACCATTCGAACAATCAGTTATAAAATTACTAAATTATGGCATGAATCAGATAAACAATTATTAATTCAAAATCGAACATGATTTTCTTACCAAACATCTGCTTGCGATACTGTTATTCCATCACCACAATCAAATGGAACGAATGGAGATGGTGTTGTATCAATTGCTGAACATGCCGATGAATGAATATATAAATCATCTAATGCGATCGAACCAGCAGTAGTAATTTGATTGAATTTTCCTTCGAAATAGATCTAAAATTGAAATCAATTTTTTTCGTATAACATTAAAAAGAAGTTTTTTGTTTGCTTTTTCTTTACTTCAAAATCACTTCCTGTCACAGATACATCAACATTTGCTTGCAACCACTTATTTCCTTGATCACCATTAACCGACCATAGTAACACAGAACTGCCACCAGCTGGTCGTGGACGTGAATAAACATTTAATGACGATGTACCAGTTACGAAATAACTAAATGATACGCAAACGCCAGCTTGATTTTGAAACGCCAAGAGTATTTCAGAATAAAGATTTGCCGATTGATTCATACGATTTGAACGAAAATCAGGTGCTGCCCATAGAAAATGTCCGTATGCATTGTTTACTGTTGTATCAGTTTGAGGGTAATTTGTACCATTGTAAATTAAACTTATTTGTTTCGATGATAAACGATACCAATCAAAATCATTGTTTCCTTCTGATGGCGTCCATGAACATAGATCTTGTTCGAATGTACACGAACCAGCAGCATTACATGCGCCTGGTGTTATGGAAACATCATCGATCGAAATATCACCAAGAAAACTTTTACCAACAACACCTTCGAAAATAACCTATAAAAGTAGAAATAAAATTGACTGAATCCTATATTGTTTTTATTGAGTATCTACTTGAAATTTTCCTGATGATCTTATTGTTGCACGAGCTGGTCGCCAGAGATCACCTTGATCTTGTCCCAGCGCCCACAAAGGAGATCCTTGAATAGTGGTGCCAGTCTGAAGATAAACATTAAGTGCGCCAGTATCTATACCCCACATATGATAGAAAAATTGTAAACATGATCCACCTGCTGCAGCCTCATATTGGGGTGTTATGAGACGAGCCTTATCATTGGGTTGTCGTGGTAAACTTGTTTCAATATACATGTAATAACCAATTGCAGTTCCATATGTATGATCTAAATAAAATATTAAATCACAACAACCTTCGTTTTTTTCCCACTCAATACATACCATTTGTGGCTCCTGTTGATGACGATGTAGTAGCACCTTTATGTCGTGACCATGTAAATTCTGCTGTAGCGTCATTTCGATAACCACAGATTAATGAATCTTCAAAATCACAGATACGTGGTGATTGACATGCACCATTAAGTAACTTCAAATCATCCACTGCAACATAACCAATTGTACGAGGTATAATAACAGCTATAAAATATAAATATATTTATTATCAAAAGGCAACTGAATCAATCATTTGCTTACCTGAAATAGTTAAATGAGTTGTACTACGTATAGTGCCTAAATTAACTGAAGTATGTGACCATTGATCGCGTGCTGTTGTTCCACGTCGAGTCCATGTAACGACGGCTGGCGATGTTCCATTTTGTACGTAAACACTTAGTGATGTATCGCTTGAGACAAATGCTTGATACCAGAAATCGAGACATAATGTTAAACCTTTCGGTAATGAACGAAAACCAATCGTAGAAAAGTAGACAGAACCGCCTGTTGGTTGAACCTGTACATAAGCATATTTCCCAAAGACATTTTGTGCTGTATGATCTGTTAATGGTGCTTGACCATAGACTGCTGTTTGGCCAGATGAAACTACCCATGGTTTATCGTTTGTTTCGAGTTGCCAATCACAAAATGTACCATCTTCAAAATCGCATTCATAAGCAGCTTGCTGTGGTGTTACAGGTGCTGGAGTTGTTGAAGCAAAATAAGCACAAGTACCGCCTTGAATGAAGATGACATCATCAATAGCTATATCCGATTCGAAACCATCACCCTGTTAAACAAAATTAGCAATTAGTAAGAATAGATCGTCGATGAAAACAAACAATAGTGATATACATACCACAACACCTTCAAAAATGAAATCATAATGATCGTTTGTAGTTGGTAAATCAATTTTAGCATTTATCCATCGATCGCCTTGGTTACCCTAAATAAATTTACAAGAAACTTATGGTTCTAATCAAATATTTCGCGCTAAAACTAATCACCTCTTTAAACCATAATGATGTTGGTTTTGCATCTAAGACTCGATGATAAACACTCATATTGCCAGTTGTATTGCCTTTCATATGATACCAAAAGTCAAGACAAGCACCTTTTGGCGATTCGAGAACTTCACTAACGAGCCATGCTTTATCTCCGTGATTTTGTGGAAACGATGATTCAATATAAGCATAATAGCCAACACTTGTTCCCGTTGTATGATCAACAGTTGGTCTAAAAAGCAGAATCATACATATGCAGCTTCAATATTAAGAAGAAATCTTTTATTTACCCTGTATCGAATGATATTGTGCCGCCTTGATTGAGTGCCCAATCAAAATTGTCTTCATCTTTAGAATTGTAAAATCCACAAAAAGTGCCGTCTTCAAAATTGCAACTTCCTTCTTCTTCACATGGACCATTTACTAGAGAAATATCATCAACAGCAATATCACCCTAAATAAAAATGAATTAGATCAAATTTTTCAATGTATTTTTATTCTGCTTTACTTGAAAACTTGAACCGACAACACCTTCGAACGCTATTTGATACGGATCATTGCTACTTACAGTTACATGTCCATAGCGCCATCGATTACCGAGATTACCACTAAAATAAATACAAATTAATGTCATATTTATATACAACATTTCACTTATTATTATACTACCTCTTTGTCCATAATAATCGTTGTGTACCAGCAATAAGAACATTTAATGAACCAATCGATGGTCCATACATATGATAATGAAATTTCAAACAAACTGCTGATGCTTGAGTATACATTGGACTTATTAATCGCGCTTTTTGTCCACGAATTTGAGGAGCCGATGTTTCAATATAAATATAATAACCACGATCAGTTCCCGTCGTATGATCTATAATTGTAAACAAAACAAAAACGAAATGATGAAACTATCTGAAATCTTTCTTTTGAAATAGTTTTACCTGTTGTCGGTCCAGTACCAACCGAATCCGTTGCTTTTTGTGTACGTGTCCAATAGAAATCACTTGTTGTATCATTAATCCATCCACAGAACGAAAGTTCAAAATCACACCAATCTGATGGTGGACATTCACCATCGGTTAAAAATATTTCATCAAGTGCTATCTAGAAATTTTCATATAAATATACAAAAAAGAAAGAGAATATTTTCGTTTAACATACATCTCCTTCCCATCCACTTCCAACATAACCATCGAGTTTGAGAGCAAAATTATATGGAATATTACGTAAATTAATTTGTCCAATGCGCCATTGTTTTAATTGGGTTTCATTACGTTCCCAAATTAGATTTTGTTGGATACCATTCGGTGTATTTTGTAATGTTGATATTTGTAATGAACCAATATTTCCACCCCACCTATGAAGATATAAATATAAATTTTGTATGCGTTCAAGTCTCTTTATATTTACATATGATAGTAAAACTGAAAACACATCGTTCCTATCGGCTTTGATATATATGGTGAAATAAGACCAGCACGATCACCTTCTACTTGTGGAAAACTTGCTTCGATATAAATGTAATATGGTGAATCGTCTGCGCCTAATGAATTGAAAAGGATGACTTTTAATTCGGACATTTATCTGGATTCTTACCTGTAGTTGGGCCTGTATCAAATGAGGATGTACTTCCTGTATGTCTAGTCCAATTGAATTGACCTGTTGGATCGAATTTCCATTGACAAAAATCTTCCTCAAATCGACAAGTTACTAATGCTTGTGAAACTTCAGCTGGATCAGCTTCAAATGGTTGTAATTTGCATGACTCTGTTTGTAAAACTCCGATATCATCAACAGCGATATCACCTTCAAATGATTTTCCACGAACACCTTCAATTATAATTTGATATCGACCATTTGGTTGAATAGGTACAAATGCATGTTTCCATTCTGGTCCGCGTGGCCCAGCCAATGCCCATACTAATGATTCTGAAGTAAAATTAGCAGATACGATTGAACGTACATAAATCATTAAACGACCAACATCCATTCCGTACCTAAATGAAATATACATACGAATTGAATTATATATATCAACAAAATAATAACTTACATATTATACCAAAATGAAAAACATCTTGGACGATTATCAAAATAGATTTCTGATTCTAATCGAGCTTTCCATTCAGATTCAGCTGGTACAGATGTTTCAATATAAATATAAAACCCGCTGACAGTAGCTAGAATAGAATATAAGCGTTTTTTGTTTTGTTTTTGTCATTCATAAAACTATTCAAATAGTTCAACATACTATGATCTCCGTTGGGTCCTGTATCAAGCGATGGTGTTGTACCATTACGAAGAATCCAATCGAATTGATTATCTGCTGCATTTGTCCATGAGCAATACGTATTATCATCAAATGTACATTCATTTGAACGTGAACTGCATTCACCTCCTTTAACCATATAATCATCGATTGCAACAAATCCTATGCATAGAAAAACCAAAACCAAAATAATTTCGTTTCCTACTTAATATTAAATTATTACCTTGTCGTAAGTAACCAGTTATAATTTCGAAAACAATACGAGCATTATTTAATGTTGATAGAGTAGCTTCACCTTTATTCCATATGAAACCATGGTCATAGTTTCGTGTAAATAAAACTTGTTGTGCGCTACCAGTTGTTTCAGTTAATACATTGAATGTATTATTTGAACCGGCTAGTACATAATAAAATTCAAGACAATATGATTGATTTTTCGTTGATGTATACATTGGTGAATAGAGACGACCATTTAAATTTTCACCTTGATTTTCGAGATCAACATAAGCATATGAACCACGATTCGTGCCAGTTGTATGATCGAATGGAATCGGTGTCGTACGCACTTGAGTATCACTGCCAGTATATGTCTTCCATTGTAAAGATGATGCGGTTGCATTTTGTGTGAAACCACATTGTGCGAAGTCCGCAAATGTACATGATCCGCCAATAGCGGCACTTTCTTGACATGTACCAGGTGTAAATATAACATCATCAATCGATACATCACCGATGGAATTTGGACCAGCAATAGCTTTATAAAATTAATAAATCAATAAATCAATAGAACAATATTTTTGTTTTTAGTTACCTTCAAAAACAATATTAACATTTAGTTTTTTAATTTCCATTCGTCCAAAACGCCATAAATCACCTTGTGTACCTGTTCGTTTCCAAAGTGATATACCGAGATTATTGCCATCAGCCATATAAATATTGAGTGTACCACCGTGTCCAAGCAAATGATAGTAGAATGTCATACATTGAGGGTTGTTTAGAGTCGGACTTTTCAAACGCGCATAATCATTTGCTCCACCTTTACTCAAATCAGCTTGCATGAAATAACCTTGAACCGTATTTGTTGTATGATCGATTTCTAAATCATATGATGTTTTTCTAATTGCTGAAAAAGAAATTATAAATTCAAGTTTACCTGGTGCTGCTACAGTCGAAGCTTGTACACGTGTCCAATTAAATTGATTATTTGCCATATTTTCCCAACCGTTACATATTCCACTTTCAAATGTACAATCATAGGGTCCCGGTGGATTTGTGATAGTTGGTCTTGTTGATGTTGTTGTTGGTACAATATTGAAGGGCTCAGCATCTGGCGGTGTTAGAACACACGGATTTTCGAATATACGAAGATCATCAATAGCTGCATCTCCTTGAAATGAATTACCTATAAATAAAAATATAAACTCAATGAATAGAATAGAACTAAAATCTTAATTTTTCACTCACCAACAATTCCTTCAATTCGTATTCGATAATATGAACTTGATTTAACAGTCACTTGACCGTTCAACCATTTGTCACCTTGATTTTCTTTTAATCCCCTAAGATAAACAAAACATTTCATTGATTCAAAAGCTATTTTCTCTTTTCAAAAACCAAATTCCCTTACCAAACCCATAATGGCTCTTTAGATTTAACACCATTGACATAGATATTCAGCGAACCAACAGTTCCATACATATGATACCAAAATGAAAAACAGGAACCAATCGATGATGTTGGCATAAGTATTGTTGATTCAAGAATAGCACGATCATTAGTTTGTCTTGGTGACGATGTTTCAATATAAGCATAATAGCCAAAAGCATCATTAAACGTATGATCAACTGTTGGTCCAGTAAATGCTGAATCTGTTTCACCATGTGCAACAAGCCAATCAAATTGATCTGCTGGCGAACGAATATTATGCCATGTGCAGAAATCAATTGATTCAAATGAACATGAACCTAACGTTGGACAAAATCCCTCTCGTAGAGTAACATCATCAATAGCTAGATCACCAAAAAATCCAACACCATATTCGCTTTCGAATGCGAATGCCCATGGTTCGTCGGTTTTTCTTATTGTTATTTCAGCTGCATTCCAAATATCACCAAAATTATAATTAACTTTCCACAATGGATATAGCTGACTCGTTGATAATACACGTCTATAAACTGTCAATGAGCCAACGTCAGCACCAAAGCTGTGATACCAAAATGAAAGACATTGCCCATTTGTATTATTTCTCCATGGAGATACTAATAGAGCTTTTTCGCCTTCACGACTTGAACTAGCGCTTGGAACATATACGTAATAGCCTATGCGAATATTCATTTTTTTAGAAAATTAAAAGAATATTTCAATTGATATGTATTCTTACCACTACTAGTCAATGTAGTATGATCAAAACTTGGTCCATTTAATGTGCCTGGCGTTGCTCCTAGAAAATAAAATTTATTATTTTGTGCTAGAACAAAAATCAATTGATAAACCTTTATGTCTGGTCCATCGATGTTTTTCTGTTGGATCATTTGTAAAACCACATAAATCTTCATCATCGAAATCACATTCAAATGGTAAATCACTTGGACAATTACCATCAATAAGTTGCAGATTATCTAAAGCAATATCTCCTTGAAAACTTACGCCAGCAACACCTTGGAGAATAATCTAAATAAATATAGAGGCATTTTTATTATAGTTTTATGAGAATGAAAACAAAATGACACATACGCTGTAGAGACTTGTGATACCATTTAATTTAACTTTTCCTAAACGCCAGATGTTTCCTTGAGATCCTTCACGCGACCAAACAGTTGTTTCAACATTTGATGAATCAACAATTAACACATCCAAACGATTGATGTCAGGTCCGTGCATATGATACCAAAATTCAAAACATTTCGTTGTTGACCCAGCAATGGATGGTGATAGTAAACGTGCTGTATCATTGAGTTTAACAGGAAAAGATGTTTCAAGATAAATATACCAGCCTTGATCTAATAAATAGAATAGAAGAAGAAAGAAATGAGTAGATGATTGCTACAATGTTTGTTTTTTTTTCTGTAAATTTTTACTCGTATGTGTTGTTACATCGAATTGAGGACCAGTCTCAGCTGTTAAAGTAGCACCTCGATTTCGAGTCCAATTAAGAGCACCATCAGTAAGGAAAGTCCATTGGCAAAAATCGACTTCAAATGTACAATCATAAATACTTGGATCTATAAAATTTAGAAAAAATAAATAGATTTATTTTGAAATTCTATTAATTTGACAAACTTTGAAATGGTGTCGTTGGTCGAGTTGCTGTTTGTGGTGTTGTTAACATAGTAGCACCTGCCGTTATTGGAGTTATTCCACAATAACCATCTCGAATATCGATATCATCGATAGCATAATAACCGTTCATTTGTGCGCTGACACTTCCTTCAATGACAATCTGTACAAAGAAAACGAGAACAAACAAAAAACAAGTTAGTCAAAGTCTTAGAAGAGAACAAAAAAAACAATCTTTACATTATGATCCTCGTCAGCATAGTAGCCGACAGATGCAAATTGCCATGATTCACCTTGAGTTATGAAACCCAATGACCATATCATGTATGTATTTTGTGAAGTTGAAATATTGACATCGACACGACCTAATTGATTACCACGCATGACATACCAGAATGTTAAACAACGACCAGAAGTTGAAGTTGATGGAAATGTTTCACTTTGAATAACAGCAACAACTGATTGTTGATTAGTGTAGGATGAACTTAAAAGAAGATATTGACCTTGGTCACTTCCTATAAATTTAACATCATAGGTAAGATTCTATTTTTCTTATTGTCAAAAACAAGCAGATTCAAACCTAATGTATGATCATTTGCAGGTCCATTATAAGGTGGTTTCGATGAACCCGATCCAACAAACCAAGTAGCATTTCCAAAAAGTAAGAAATTACGCCATGTACACAATCTAGAACAAAACAAAAACAATTTAGAAAATGTAAAATTAGATTCCTTTTGTTTTAACAAAATTTTACCCGTTTTCAAAATCACAATCGCCCGATTCAGGACAAGCTCGATCACGAATAAATACATCATCAATAGCCACGGTTGGTGAATTTGCACCGAATTTAAAAATTATACTTTCAAAAATAACCTGATATGGTGTTAAACTAAGACCGTGTGGAATACGTTGTTGTGAAAGACGCCATTGGCCCTCCTTTAAAAAGATTCAAAATAATCTTTTTATTTTTCTTGCATATCATTCAAATTAAAATAACTTACGCGAAGGATATTTTTCGACCAAATTAAATAGCCTGTCGTGTTTGTTGTTTGTTTACTTGTTCGTACAAATAATTGTAATTTAGATAGAGTACTAATTAAGTCACCATCTGAATAATACCAAAATTCAACACACTGTTCTCCATTAGGAACTATTACTGGCGAAGTAAGACGTGCTCGTTGGTCAGTTACGCCTGGTGCTTGTTTAGAAATATCAACAAGCATATATGCACCATTACTGGTACCATCTGTATGATCGGTCAATGGTTTAAAACCAGTTGCTACTGGATCATTACCAGTTGCACGTATCCAGCTGTACTGTGTTGTAGCATCATTGGAGTAAGAACATAGTTTTGGATCTTCAAAGGAACATAATCGATCTTCATTTGGACATGATTGATAGACAACAATATCGTCAATAGCAATATCACCAAGACCGTATCTATGTAGAAAAAATAAATCAACTTTCATGAAAAACGAAGCAAAACTTACTGTCCAACAATGCCTTCGAATACAATTTGAAATTTGGTATTCGCTTGTGGAAATATTGGATATTGTCCTTTAAGCCATTGTTTACCTAATTTAAGACAAGAAAAATTAGAAGATAATCGTTTATATGAAAGCCAAATCACCTTGATCTCTTGTACGTGTCCATACTGGTTTACCCATATTACCATTTACTTTAATATAAACATTTAATGTATCAACATCCATACCATACATATAATACCAAAATTGTAAACATTTTTGTCCTTGAATTTCTTCTGATACTATACGGCAACGTTGATTATATTGTTGTGGAAAACTAGCTTCCATGTAAATATACCAACCATCGGATGTTCCATACGTATGATCTAGAAAAAAAAGAAAAGTAAAACTCTTCAATAGACTAGCCAAGTGTATTCTATTGTTTCTACAAACCAGTAGTAGGTCCAGTATTCATTGATGGTGTTTGACCTTGTTTTGCTGCCCATCGAAAATCAGCAGTGTTATCATGCGTCCACGTTGGACAAAGAACACCTTGCTCAAAATTACAATCCCATGGTGATTGCGGTGCTAAAGTTGATTGACGTATAGTTGTTGTTGACAGTGTTGATGGAAGAGTGGTTGCCGCTGTTGGTACAGCATCATTCATCGGTCGAATCGAACAATTACTTGTTGTAAATGTAAAATCATCAATAGATATATCGCCCTATGGGAAACGAACCAAAAATTTAAACTAGAAATAAATTAATAAAACAATACTGATTCTTACCAAGTAATCTTTTCCAGCAATAGCTTCGATAATCATTTGATATGGAACCGAGGAAATATATGAAACTTGACCTTCATACCAATTATTACCACGATTACCTGATAATGACCATATTCGTTTATATGTACCATCGAAAACGTAAACATTCAATGTTCCAATTGAATCGCCATACCTATTAGGAAACCATCAAAAAATCTATTCAATCAACGATTATCGACTTACATATGAAACCAAAATCTAAAACATTTCGCATCTCCATTGGTTCCATCAAAAATAAGACTACGTAAACGTGCACGATCACCTGGTTTTGTTGGAAGTGATGTTTCAATCATTAAATATTTTCCTTGTGCTGTATTTGTAGTATGATCTATAAAAATAAAATATCATTGATTCAAAAATCGAATACATATCGATTTCTATCATACCGAATTGTGGTCCAGTTCCCAATGAATGTATCCCCGTTCCGACAAGCCAATCCATATCAGCATCGATATCATTATTTTGCCAACCGCATAAATCAGTTTCAAATGTACAATCGCCTAGACTTGGACATAAACCTCGTGTGATCGAAACATCATCAAGAGACACACTGGCATCAGGATTTTGTACCAAAACTTGAGCTTCGAATACTCCTTGCCATGGTTGATTTGGACTTCTGACATTCATTTGTGCATATAACCAACGATTATCGAAATTACCACCAAAAACCCAACCATCGGTACCTTGTGGACTTAGATAAACATTTAATTGAATTTTTTGTGTTGTTGCATGCATGAAATACCAAAAATGTAGGCATGAACCACTTGTACGTTCTTGAACTGGTGTTAAAAGTAATGCGCGATCATAAATATTTCGATTTTTGCCTTCAGCTAACATATAATAACCCTCATTAGTTTGTGTTGTATGGTCAACATTTGGATTAACACCTAGTTGAACAACAGATGCTAAACCACGGGTCCAATTAAATTGCCCTGATGGTGAATATTGATAGCCTATAAACGAATTTTATTTTTGTCTTAGAGAGTATTCTACAAGTTGTTTTTCAACATACCACAAATAGAATCATCTGAATCAAAATCACATTGATCCGAAGTTGTTTGACAAGTTCCATTAAGAAGTATAATATCATCGATAGCAATTGCGCCACGATTGGCATCTGACCATGTTCCTTCGATGACAATCTAGATAAGAAAAATCATAGAAAATAGAAATTCGACTAAATAAAAACGAACATTATATTGTGGCGGATTGCTTGTTGATGCTTGAAGATTAACTTGTGCATGATACCATTCAAAACCTTTGCCACCTGCTGATGTCCATCGTACTTGAGACAATACACCGGAAAGTTTTTCAACACTTAGACTACCAACATTTGGACCATACATAAAATACCAAAATTCTAAACATTGACGATTATTACCCAATGGTACACTACGAAATTGACTTGAGATATTATTCTAAAGAAAAGAAAAATTTATAGTAGGAACAAGAACCTAAGCATTTTGATGTTGCTTACATTAGTAATTGGTGCTGTTTTATTTGGTTGAAGTAAAAGATAATATTGAGTTGGTTGATTTCCTGTATGATCATACAATGGATTATGTACATCTTGTTGTGATGCTGTTACACCTTGAACACGTGTCCAAGCTAGTCCAGGTTTTGTTATGATAGTCCATGATGGGCATGTGGCACTTTCAAAGTTACAATCAAAATCCGATGGTACACGCGGTGGAGTTGTTCTAAATAGAAAGAATTTGAAAAGTCCTATTATTGAGAATAGAAAATTGGTATTATTCAACTGACAGTCCTGCTGTTACGGCTGGTCGCGTTGTTGTATAAGCATCGGGTGGTATAGCAAATGCTGGAAATGTTGGACAGTAGCCATTTGTTATTAATAGATCATCAATACCGATATCACCCTCGTCGTTTTGAGTGATTTTAGCTTCGATTAATAGTGAATGATCCGAATCTACAGCAAAACCAACTTTTCCTTCAAACCAATTATCATCTTGATGACCAGATAATGTCCACATTGGTATTGGTTGAAAACCTTCTTTTTGTAAATATACTGTTAATGCACCAATACCTTCGCCGAACCTAAGAAAAATTTGAAATAATTATAGTTGTTTTCTTGACTAGTTTTGATACTAACATGTGATAGAAGAATTCAAAACACATTCCATTTAAACCTGTATCAGACATTGATTGTGAAATAAGTAAAGCTTTGTCACCTATTTTTCGATTATTATTTGAATCAATATATCCGTATGATCCTTCGCCTGTTTGAAGTGTATGATCTGCCAATGGACCTATGAATAAAATAGAAAGTGCATCAGTTTTTTGTTTTTTCTATTTTCTTACCACTAATAAGTGTACTTGATGATGCACCACTGGTTATTTCCCAATCAAATTGATCAGTTTTCTTGACATTTTCCCATCCACAAAATGTATCACCTTCAAAATCACAATTGTTTGGTTCGCGACATGATACCTTTAAGCTTTCAATATCATCTATTGCAATATCACCCTGAAGACAAAAACAAAAACAAAAGATAAAGATTGTATTTAATAATAACATAAAATTGAATTTAGACGTTTTCCACTTACTTGATGTCCTTTACCAATAACTCCTTCGAAAATAACACGAAACGGTGCACTATATTCAGTTGCTACGTGAGCCTTACGCCATACATCACCAACATTAGCACCACGTGACCAAACAAGTGAACGTGAATCATTATTTAATGTATTCGTATTTACATAAACATTTAATTGACCAATATCTTGACCATACATATGATACCAAAATTCCAAGCAACGGCCGTCTTCTGGTTGAGCCATAGTTGATATTAAACGTGCTTTATCGCCTAACTTTTTTGGAGATGATGATTCTTGAGAAAAATAAAAACATGTTCTGTTGTGAACAATAATTTAAAGATTTGGTACTTACCAATAAACATAAAATGACCTTGTTCTGTTCCAAGTGTATGATCTAAAATCAAAATATTTTCATAGAAAAGAGAAAAACAAAGTACTAAATATATATTACCTTCAGTAGCACCAGTGAAGTCTGTTAGTGTCGCACCTCGTCCTCGAGTCCATGCTAATTGTCCACTGGCATCTGATGAATATCCGCAGATATGTTCTTCTTCAAATGTACAACTAACAGAATAAAAATCTGGTCTAATACAAGGTCCGTCCAAAAGTTTAATATCGTCTACGGAAACTTCTGATCGAATACTCCAAATAGCAATAACTTCATAAAGAACACGAGTGATTTTATTTTCTGGTTCAATTTGCACTTGAGCATATTGCCAATGACGTCCTTGATCGCCGTATCGTCTCCAAATAGATTTTTGTGAAGTAAAATTTTCATTTGGAATTAAATAAACATTGAATTCTGTCTGATCTGTACCATGCATCATATACCACCATTCAGCACACATTGGCGTTTGTGCATTATCGGGTAAACGTGGACTAACAATAGATGATAGATCAATATCTGATATTGCAGGAACAGGAATCGGTACTCGTGTTGTAACATAATAACCGGTTGAATTTCCATATGTATGATCAGTTAATGGACCAATAATACCGGCAAGTTGATTTCCACTTGGTTGTTCACGAAACCAATCGAGCGTATTATGTTGACCTTTTGTCCAACCGCACATGTCTTGTTCGAATGTGCAATCATAACCAGCAACAGCTTTTGTTGTAAGGTATCGTGTTGTTCGAGATTGAGAAGATTGAATGGCTTTAGAAAGAAGTAAATTTTCAGTTTTTTTCTCTAAAGAGATGATAGCTATACACTTACGCGAATTTGAACGTCTAGTACTTGGTAGTTTGAATGCTACATACATAGAAACATGTTGAAAATATGTATTTGGATAGAAGAAAATAAATCTTACTTAAAGTAGGACATGCTTGATGAGTAATGACGATGTTTTCCAATTGAATTTCTCCCTCGTTTGTTACTTGTCCGTCAAAACCAACAAGAGTTGCCTTTGGTAATGAATTAACGGTTGATAAGGAAATATTCAATTGAATATGATTTTCACTAAAATATATTTTGTTTAAAGTTATTTTACAGAAAATGATTTTTTTGTCAAACCTCTGTCCTAAACGTGATCGGCTACGCCAGACAGTTCGATTGTGAACAAAAACAGATAATTTGCTCGATCTTTCATCTTTCGTTTGATAGGTAAAACTAAGACAAGATGGCAAGTCTCGTGAGGGTAAATGTGCAGTGCCGAACAGACGAGCACGATGTTGTTCGGATGATTCCAGATTTTTATCATTCGAATATTTCAGGACAAATGTTTGTTTGCCTACAAAATAGAAAGAAACCATAGCACTTATTAATTGAACCACATTACAATAATTACTCGTTTGTGTGGAGGGAGATTGATGCCATTCTACATTTTCGTTATTGACCGGATCATTTCTCCAACCTGGGTCTAAATATAGATTATCTTTCATACTGTTTCGAAATAAATCACATGTCCTAATACTGACCTTCATCGGGGATAGTTGATTGAGCTTCAATGAAAAATTAAAATTCAAAGATATTCTTATTCAAATAAATCACATTTCACTGAGAGAACTTACCCGCAATACCAATAAGGTATATACAGAGGAGCAGGAGCACCGAACGGTCCATGATCCTTGGTAAATTTAAAAAGCTTCTCGCATACAAAAATAAATATATAATTTTCTAAAACAAAAAACAATCTGCACTTAAATCTTCTCTAGTAACTCTCTGTATGTGCATCTTCGTTTAAAATCATTTACATATGCTTCACAAGAAAAAGAAGTTTGTTATCTTCTTCTTTTGTAACTTTTTAGGAGTAGATATAGCTGATAACTGTCTCTCTCTCTCTCTCTCTCCCCAATGAAAGAGAGAGAGAGAGAGAGATTTCAAAGCAGTACAAGGGCAGATAAATAGAAGCACAATTTTTATCAAGATATTTTTTTTTCTATGGTCATACACAAATTATGACTAATGCATTGCTGCAAAAACATCAGATTCATTATTTAAAAAAAGATAGAACAGAAAATATTAGTCCATCAAAGATATATGGAGTAAATATTGCACGCAAAAGAATGAAATACTGCCTTTCTCGCTTGTAAACGATATACAAATATGGTTGTGCGCAAGCAACATGACGATTATGTAATTAAAAACTAGATTTCTCAAATAGGCATGTTGAAAAAAAGGTATTCAAACTTTTAAGGTTATCGCGAAAATTTGCACGATGCGTTCCTACGCGATGCAACTCGATTCACAGCATGCGGCGTGAACTTCGGACTGATACTGATTGTCGAGATTCGTTTTTGTTTCTGCTACTGAAACATGAAAATCCAACGGAACTTAAAAGAGCTATGGAATAGATTAACGCTTAATAGAATAAGATTTTAAATGCTAGATTCTTTCCTATCATAAAGTCAAGACAAAAAAAAGAAAGCTTCAGATACTTCGACAAGACCCGCACGACTTTGATGAATGCAGGCGTCATGAAGAATAATGTTATCTGAAACACTTATAACGCTATAGATGATTACAATGATAATTTCTTCTGATAAAAGATAATGTGAAGAAAAAAAACCGTGCTTACATAAGTGGGGCTAGAAAATAAATGCTGTATGATTCCATAGAACGGTTTCATATTGAACTAAAGTCTTCAAGAGCAAAGTCATATTTTTACTACATCGTTTGAATTTGAATTTTTCAGCTCTTGGTGCATTTGTGTAGCGCTAAACCTGCAGATAAGCACAAGAAAATTGTTTATGTTTACTTTATTTCTTTTGAATTATAATTCAGAGTGGATTCTGTATGTTAGCAAAGTTTACTTCCCTTTTGGCTTCTGCGGTGTTCTATGCAGAAAAGTATTCCTATACATGAATTCGATCGTTTAGTTTTATAGTACCAACATTTTGTTTTCATTGACTATTTTATTCTTTTGATGCAATTGAAAAATGCTTTGTAATGAGAAGCAACATAAGAGGAAAACAAATTCAATCTAATAGAATTCTCACAAAAGTTAAATTGGTCTCAATATTGGAAATGATGATGAATTTTTTTATGTAGTAATGACATTTTCATCATTCTCTGATAGATTTGCACGAAAAACACAATCAGCAAATAGTTTTTGAAACTTCTTCGAGTTCGAATATAAATAAAATGCTAAACATTGTCTAAGACTGTTACATTCGATACCATTCTTTGAATTAATAATAATGACTGCCTGAAAATCTCAACAATTCACACATTTATTTAGTTTGATGCAATAGATGTTAGTATTAATTATCATACAACACAATTGTTTATTCAGTGACACTCGAATAATCGTATGCTCTTGATAGACGCGGAATAGAATATCGAGCTTTGCCGAAGAGAAATGATGAATTCATCATCGTAATTATTATACAAATATTGAATCTAATTTTTAATATTTAAAATATGTTTCAGTTGTGAACATGAAGAGTGACCAAGCTATGTCTTAAAAAAGCCCCCTCAGTCAGTCGTCTTTTCTGTTTCAAATTCTATTGGTCAATACAACAAGCGATTAATATCATTCGCAATGACTCATCCAACTGCAATCCTTCAGATCTGTATAAGTTTTTTATTTTGTTTTGTTTTGTTTTTCTTTTAATATGCCAAAAAAAATGAAAAATCACAATTAAATAATGTCATTTCGCCGAAAGACTTTCGGCAGTTTATCTGAAAGTTTTCAGCAACAACAGCAATCTCAAATGTATACTCCTGATCTGAATAATGACTTAGTGACACAAAATGATGCATTGCAAAGTATCTTACCAAAAGTATGTAGGCAATGCAAAAATAAAAACGAAATCATTCATTTATTTTTTATTTTTAGTTTATGGAAGTCGTTCGAAAATTATTGCCACGTTTGTCTTTAGATTATTGTATCATTCTGAAAAATAAAAGAATAATTTTCATTTTTTTAGAAGAACTTCCATTTGATATGTATGTGCCTAATGTCAAATACTTAGAAGGTGGATGTAAAAGTTTAATCGGAAATTTATATTTATCTAACTTTCGACTTGTATTCGTGCCAGATAATTCCACTGACGACAATCTTTTAGTATGTAGTATTTAATAGTAATGCACTTTTAGTGACGTAATCGAGAATGGGCTAGATCGGGAGTAGCGTTATCATAAAAATAGAAAGAGAAATGTAATAATTACTATTGATAATACTGTTTTATATGAATTAACTTCATAATCATAGGACACTGCTCTAACATATTCACCATTTCTTGTTTACGCCACTATTTGATTAATTTAGATAGGAATAATTACAATAAAAGAAAACGAAAATATTTTTCTTAGATATGTTCCGGAAACAGATATATTGGTGAATATGACATTCCATTAGCATCAATTTATAAAATAAATGTTGCACGTACGTATTATTTTCTTTTTTTGTTGAAATCATACGCATGATAAACATTTGAATTTTTCTCTACTTTATATTTTGAAGCGGTTAATGCTCGGACTGGATTTAAATCATTTTTAAATGAAAACCAGATACAATCAGAAACACGAACATTCACAATTATTACTCGGGTATGTGGATTGTGATGGTAGTTAATTTTCTTAGTTTTTTCAATCGACATTTTGTGTTTCCACTTCATTTTTCAAAAGCAAATTATCGCAAAGGATACGATACCAAACTATGATACGCTTCTAATCGTTTCGAACTTACACCTTTATTGTTATTTTTCTCTTTTTCTAATTAAAAGGATTTTCGTAGTATCACATTTACAAAATGTTCAGTTACAAAAGCCTATACAATCGACAGTAAAAATCAACAAGTATCTCTAACAAAAATGGAAAAAGTATGTTCTATTTAATCTCATACAATTTCAATTGATTTTCTTGTTTAGTATATTGAAGCATTAAAAGCTTATAGTCGTGCTCAACAAAGAGAACAATTATATCTCTATGCTGCAATAGAACAATATCCAGCAAAACAGTTCGTGTCAAAAGATAATCGTAGTTACACATCTTCGAAACTGGCAAATAGAAACTTTTCACAAAATGAAATCTCGGGTTAGATATTTTCTTTCCATTGCTAGTGTTGAATAGCTGTTCATATATTTTTATCTAGATCTTTATCTGGGTAAAGATGAGCATATAAGGAGTTATATGACTTATGATGATTGGCGTGACGAATTATACGAAGCAAATGAACAACAATGGATTGTTGATCGAAATAAATTTGATAAACAAGCGACTATACAAGCGTATGGAATTTTTCTTCGTAGAAAATATTATTTTTATTGTTTCTATTTTTTTTTCTAGCGAAGGCCCTTATGTTCGTTTAATATATAGTAATAATTATGATAGCTCTGGAAATTTGGTAAATCTCTTGTTTAATTTTTTTTGTATAATTTATTTTCCTACTAAAGATTTGGCATTGGACCCATACATCTCAAGTTGGCAGCAATGGCTATTATAAAAGGCAAATGCCAGCACAAAAATATATGTTTATAACTGCTCCTGGAATTGGTGAAGTTACAAGTAGTGTTGAGCCGTAAGTTGATAATTGAAAATAAAAAAAGTGATATTATACTCACATAAAAAGCAAAGCTTTAGTGAAACTTACGCATATGATTAACGAGATTTCTTCTTTTCTACTCTTGACAAGTAGGAATTCAACAATTAGCTTACCTGCCACTGTATCATCATCATCATCATCATTATCATCATCGTTTCGTTTTAATAAGATTAAAAAAAATTTACTCAAACCTTTACGACGAAATACGCCCGATACACCAAAATTGATATCTACAAACGAAAGTAAAACAACACTTAGTGACTTAACAGATATGTCACAAATGCCGCCCGATAGTGGGTGAGAAATGCGCATATGCTCGGTAACCGTTGCTATTGTTTATGTGTTGCACGTGTAGTTATTGTTACTGTTTTTTTTATATTGGTGGCGGAATATTTAATATGACTTAGAAACAAATTTAGCTTTGTTCGAACAAAAACTAATGAATGTTCTTTTAGGTTGCGTCGTGTTACAACGGATACAAATTTAATTGGATCCTCGGATATAATATGCGATCAGCCATTTCAACGTTATAATCTATCGAAATTTCCATGTAATTTAAAACGTTTACAATCCAGTTATGAAAAATTAATTGAAATATGCATCACAACATCAGGTATTTGCATGCATTTGGTTTTGATTCGTATTAACGTTTTGTTTTTCTCTGTTATAGAGGATGATGATGACAAATGGTTGGCCAAATTACATACATGTAAATGGCTTAAATATGTATCAAAAGCTTTACATGGTGCTGCAACATTAGCTAAATTGCTTGATTTTAAAAATATTAAATTAGTGGGTAAGACGAACAATTAGACGAATATTTATGTAATATAATTTATATTTTTAATAATTTAGGAAGTGATACAGATAACAGTTGTTTAATGTCATCACTAGTACAAATATTACTTCGACCGAAATGTCGTACAATCAAAGGTTTTTGCGAATTGATTGTTCGTGAATGGGTGATTCGTGGTCATAAATTTCTTGAACGTTTCGGACAAGTAGCCATTGATGGATATGGAAATCCTGGTCAAGAAGTAAGATCATATCTCTATATTGATTGTATATCTTACGTATTTTTTAAATTTTAGTCACCCGTTTTCCTTCTTTTTCTCGATTGCGTTCATCAACTGATTGTTCAAAATCCATTTTTATTTGAATTTACCGATTATCTTCTTCTTGAATTTTACCGTAATGCTTGTTATTGCTATCAACATACATTTGTTTTTAATGATGTTCTCGAACGTCTTCAAGTGATAAATAATTATCCAAAACATCTTTTTGTTTTATCCTCATTTGATTTTTCACTTTATCTTGATCCTGAAACATGTTTTTTATTAAAAAATGATGCATCAATATTTCAAACGCAACCACCTGCATCTTCTTCTACTCAAAAACATACACAAGCTCGAATCGAAGCCACAGTTATTTATCCATCATCACAATCGCCTCGACATCCTAATCGAAGTGTGTACTATGTAGAAACATCAACATCAAGAAATCACTCAATTGATATTCCCATAACCAATGGATCACTGATGTTAAACGCTGACATATATGATTATGATACAATTGAATCACCTCAAGTATTTCCATCTGATTTTCATGTTGATTGGCGTACATTTAATTTAGTTTTATGGTCGAAATGTTATTGTCGTTATGATCAAACTTATCTGCCTACAGTAGTTGAACAACAATTATCATTTGAAATAAATTGTTTAAAAGAAGATCTTGAAAATATGCGCACAAAATCAGCACAGATAACATTAGATACATTTGAAAATGTGTGTATATTTAATTATTTAATAAAAAAAAAGAATGATAAATGTTGAATTATTTTTAGGTTGGTCATGCAAATTCATGGCATCCACAAACATTAGTTACACGTGTATAAATACAAAACAAAATCTATTTGCATTTATGCTTTTAATTAGACACTTAAATCTTCCATACGTTTAGTACTCTATATTTGATCTTTTTTTTCTCTCATTGAATTGTACATACATTTTATTCCATTACGGCACTTGCTGTTACACTACTTTTGTTCTCATTAACAGTGATCTACATAAATTCTTATGATTTCAATTAAACTAAAGATGATAAAAGTAATAATGTAATCTTAACTTTAGATTTTGTTTTTAGTTGAAGAAAAAGTAATATTATATCAGGGAAAATGTCAAGATCAGAATCTGATTCGGAATCTGATTCATCGTCAAAGCACTTGCGATATTGTGATCGACCAGAATGGTCTGATGTTGTACCAATTGAACAAGATGATGGGCCCAACGCCGTCGTAAAAATAGCTTATTCAGAAGCATTTCGTGATACGTTTGATTATCTACGTGCATGTATGCACAAAAATGAATTAAGCGAACGGGCGCTTGAATTAACAAAAAGTGCATGTCATCTTAATCCGGCTAATTATACAGTTTGGTGTTATAGACGAAAAATTCTATTACATCTTGGATCCGATTTAGATGAAGAATTAGCATTTGTCGGACGAATGATCGAGTTGCATCCAAAAAATTATCAAGTATAGCTTTTTTTCCTCTTTTGTTTTCATAAACCGTTCTAATAATTCTTGTTAAGGTTTGGGAACATCGTCGATTAATTGTCGAAATTTCAGGTCATTCATCAAATGAATTATCATTTATTGCAAGTACTATTAAATTGGATTCGAAAAATTATCATGCATGGCAATATCGTCAATGGGTTCTTAAAACTTATGCACTTTGGTCGGATGAATTACATTATGTTGATCATTTATTACAAGACGATATTAGAAATAATTCGGCATGGAATCAACGTTATTTTGTTATAGCTCATACAACAGGTTTCAAAGATGATGTTATCGAACGTGAATTAGATTATGTTGAAAAACGTATTGAACTATATCCTGATAATGAAAGTGCATGGAATTATTTGCGTGGCATTGCAAGATTTCGTTTGGCTAGTTTAACTGATCAACGTATATGGAATTTTTGTCGTAATTTGTATGAAAATCATTTTCTAAAAGATGAGTTTAATAATCAACAATGGCGATTTTTGCTTGGTTATATGATTGAATTGTTAATGGATGACGATCGTGTTGACAAACAAGAAGATAATAAAAAAATGATTCATGATCTTTGTGAAAAATTAATGTTACAAATTGATCCGATTCGAAAAAAATATTGGCAATACATTGAAGAGCAAATGTCAACCAAGTAAACATTTGCTATTTGCTATTTGCATTTATGTTTTCTTCTGAACATTTCATGAGTTTTTTGACATCTAGTGATTTGTGATGATTGTTACCGATTAAGATCATATTTGATCGTCCCTTCTCTATTTTCCTTTTTTGTGCATGACAAAAAAATAAACAGATGTAATCCAAACAAAAGCAATCAAAGAAACTACCATGCTTTTGTATTATTCTCATTGTTTGCTATGAATTCATAGTCAATTTCCCATAAGAATATTTCAGCACTTTCTTTCGAATAATGTCTATTTTCTTGTAATAGTGCGAAGAATGTTGAGAATTTTGTACTATGGTGAAATTTATCGATGCTGTGTGAAAAACTGATAACTAAAAAAAAAGAGAAAACAATCTTGGTTTCTTGAAAAATAGCATATGACAAATGAAAAATATTTAATCCTTGCTTGCGCACGTTACTATCTTGAAATGCATACTCGTAAGTCTCGGTCTCAATTAAGATTAGAATCGATTTGTATTTTATTTTTGAAAAAAAAACAAGAGAATAAGATACAAAATCAGGAATCAAAAAAATATTAAATTGTTTTTTCAAACGAGAGAAATATGAACCGATTCAACATATTGATTTGGGTTTTGTGTATTGCATTTCTTCGTAGTCATGCCTTTTATACTGAGAAGACGACAGAATTTTCTGGTAACGATAATAAAGTAGCCATTGTAAACACATTCTATAATGTTATTGCACAAGATGGTGCTGATCCATGGGTATATAAACATACAGATGGATGGTATTATTCTACGAGAACTACAGGTGGTGATGTTCGTATTTGGCGATCACGTACTTTTACATCGATGGATGCTGGCGAAAGTCGAGTTGTTTGGAGATCATCAAATTCTGGTCCAGCATGTCGTGATATTTGGGCTCCCGAAATACATTTTCTTAAATCAAGTTGGTAAGAAATAGCTTTATTCTATGAGCTTTTTTTCTTATGAGTGTTTTCAATAAAAGGTATATCTATTTTGCTGCAACAACATGTGACAGTAAAAATGAAAATCATCGTATGTTTGTCATTGAAAATACCAATGCTGATCCATTCACTGACTCATTTACTTGGAAAGGACAAATTACAGATGCAACCAATAAATGGGCTATTGATGGAACTGTCCTTGATCACCCGTCAGGCCAACTCTATTTTATATGGTCGGGTTGGGAAGGAAATGTTAATGAAAGACAAATTTTATATATTGCTCAAATGTCTAATCCATGGACAATAAGTAGTCCAAGAGTAGAAATTGCAAGACCGATATATAATTGGGAACTGAATCATCGTCCTTATATTAATGAAGGTCCACAAGTAACAATACGAAGCGGTGTTATATCACTTGTTTATTCAGCATCGGGCTCATGGACAAATGATTATTGTCTTGGCTTGATTACGGCACATACAAGTAGTAATCCTATGTTAACATCATCATGGCAAAAACGTGCTAATCCAATATTTCGGTCAGCTAATTCTGTTTATGGACCTGGACATCAAAGTTTTACAAAATCTCCGGATAACCAAGAAGATTGGATTATTTATCATTCAGCACGATACAGTGGTTCAGGTTGGACTCGACAAATTCGTGCACAGCAATTTACATGGAATACCGATTCAACACCAAATCTAGGCACACCAGTCAATCCAAATATACCAATACGTGTGCCATCTGGTGATCAAAATCGAGATCGATATGAAGCAGAACATGCACGTCTTTTAAATGGCCCTTATGTGCATCCTCATGCAAGTGCATCGAATGGTCTTAAAGTTGGATATATTGATTATCCAGATAGTACAGTTGAATTCACTATACAATGTTCTAAAGCTGGTACATATATAATTGTAATTCGAAATGGAAATGGTTCGGCAGGAAATTCTCTTGCTACACATTGGTTAACGATCAATAATGTGAATCCAACTGAAGTACCAATTGTATACAGTGGATGGGATATGTGGGGCGCAACAATGGTTCGTGCCAATCTGAAACAAGGTGCTAACACTTTAAGTTTCAAAAAAGGCTTGAACTTTGCTGAGATTGATATGGTTGATGTTTTTCTTGGTGAATAATAATACTAATACGAATTCGAATAGCATTACTCAGGATGTGGGTATGAGTTAAGCGAAAAGCTAAATCTACACCCACACCCACACCATCAAGTATCTCAGTTTTGAATAAATATAAATCAAAATGAGAATAATAGATAGCAAGAATCACATTGACAAAAGAAAAGATTTATTACCGAAAAAAAAATAGAATTCATCGTTTTGTTTTTCGTACGAATATGCTCAACTCGTGTATGCCTTCATGGATAATTATCTAAAGACATTTCATAGTCTATTGTTTGATTACGTGAAACATACTTTTCATTATCACCAATGATTTTCAATGGAACAAATTTTGCTTAATAAATATCTTTTGGTTGATGATCAATTGCTATTTTATATACCGCATTGTTAAAATTATTGTCACTATTGTAAACCGCATGAAATCGATCATCGATGTTATTATTCACTGGAACTTTATTCCAATTTTCGTAATCTCGTAAGATGTATACTGGTATGGACGGTTTTTATGTCGATTACCAGTAACATTTTCATTGTAATATTTATCATGATCTTCTTGGTGCGCGTATATATATATATTTGTCGCCAGCAGCTAGCTCACATCCCTGGATAATTATTCCGACAATCGAATCCGATCGGAGTTTATGTCAATTTCGATAAAAATCGACGAATTCCTGTTGGACCCGACATCCTAACAAAGCTCTAACCGATATCTGATGTTGAGATCAATTATTAGCTTCTACTTAGCGAATCATATAGGGTTTCCCCATCGGATTTGTTGACTGCTAGGATCTTATAAGATTCTATCGGATTCATTAACCTGGGATTTTTTTCGCCGTGTATTAATAAGCGCTCGTCTCGCACAGTTCATTACCACAGTGGCCAACGAAAAATGAATACTAATCACCAATCATCATTATCTTATTGAAAGTAACGAAAGATTATCATGGCCTAACCACAGCCTACCTCAATATTCTTTATATAAAACTAATTGTATGTTGTCATCGAATTCCCAAATCAAGGTAGAAAAAAGCAGAAGTTGTATGTTTCCCAAACAATATTTCATCAAAACCGATTGATATGGAAAAGGATGCGTATTTTTCGTGTGATGACTATTAAATTTTATATTGTTGGTTTTTCTTACACAATATTGCTATTTTCTATTCAAATAAAACGCCCGGTGTAAGGTTCATGAATTCTTTAAAAGACTTTGTCATAAAGTCATATCTGAAAATGCAAAAAAAAGTATGATATAACAATAACTTGACCAATGGAATTTAAATGGAAAATGATTATCATAGACAGAAAAAGATGATTGATCTGTAAGTACTTTCTTGTTTGGTAAATTCTTATTTTCTTTTCCTTTTGAATATCTTTCATAAATAAATAATTCTAATAAGAAGCATAATTAAACAAAATTCAATATTATTATAATAAATATCATCAGAAAACTTGCTGTGTTTCTTTCTGATGAAATTTATTGAGATCTAGCATGATTTGTAATTTTATTTGTTTGTTGAATAGTACTTTTTGAATGAATAGTATCAACTGATATATCGGTATTGGGTGTGGGTGTTTACGACATTAAGCTATATATTCACACGGACACTCACCCATACCCACACTCACACCCCGAAGACTTAATTTGTATTTGGTTTTTCAATGGATCTTTGCTTTTCACTATGTTTTTATTTTAACTATGCCTATTCTATTTCTTAATTGTTTGTGCTAGTTTTAAATGCAGAGCCCTGATGAGTGTTTCATTATTTTAATAAATAAATAACACGAAACGCGTCGGCGAAATTAAACTCTGCATTTGTTTAATTATTTCTTACATCTAGCACATAAATTAATAATTTTACTATTAACTGAAATTCGACTTTTATCAGTTGCTAAAAAACAAGAGTTGAGACTAGCAGATTGATCTGTTTTTGAATTGATTTAAGTGCATCCACACCTTAGCTATATCCGTAATATCTATCGTCGTATAAACCACTGCACTAAGATAAAGCGCACGAAACTTTCCACGAAAGTTGTAATTGAATTTTACTTCCAAATAAAAACAGTATTTTTTTTACATATCGATCTTTTCTCCCAAATAGATGAAAATGAATGCACTTATATCTCTCATTGTGACTATTCTACATCAAAAAGCAAACTTGGACAATTATCGAATAATATTCCATATTCGGAAATTTTCCTGATGAATTCCTTCAGCTAGCACAAAATGATCATCGTAAGTATCTCATAATGGTCTTCTAAACAGACTCACACCCTCACTATAATCTATGATATCATGAACTGCTTCAAGAAACTACCTGAAGATTGACCCTTGCGAAAGTTTGAAACTATATTCGTAGTTTATTCTTGAATATAATATAATTCACAGACACAGACACAGAGAAAAGTGAAAATTAACTAAACTAAAAGTTAAGTTCAGTTAAATAAAATGAATAAATAAATCTATAAAAGTAATAGTGAAGTAATATCATGTAATATAAATAATAAAATGAAATTGTTTTTAGAATACTGAATCCGAATCCGAAGATTAATTGATTAAATTAATAGTTTATAATTGTATGCATTCGCGTTAGATACACTGTATACATTTCCGTTTACTGTGTAAAGAAGACTACCAGTAGTTATATTCCATACTTTTATCGTTGTATCAATAGAACCACTCGCTAAATTACCATTGCTTAGTAATGAAATTTCGAAAATAGGACCAGTATGTCCTGTTAGCGTATGTATTAGAGAGCCATTATTTGGATTCCATATCTTTATTGTATTATCATTAGCGCCGCTAGCCAAATAACCATTGCTTAATAGTTTCAAACGGTAAACTCAACTTTGGTCGACAGTAAAAATGTCGACAGTAAAAATGTCGACACTAAAATGTCGAAAGTAAAAATGTCGAAAGTAAAAATGTCGAAAGTAAAAATGTCGAAAGTTCAAAATGTCGAAAGAAATTTATAAAGATAAAATTAAAAATTCTAAAAGAGTGTTTTGAAAGATATTCGATGAATATGTTATTATTGTAGGATCGATGGCGACTTATGTTCGTTTAAATCTATCATTGGTCTATCAGACATTGGTCACTTAGTACAATGTAGTAGAAAAGAATAAGAAAATTATTCTTCAATTATTCATTATTCGAGTGATAAATATACATATGGACGCCGCCACGGAATCGACACACAACATCAACAGTGATTTAAATTTCATTACTTCGAATAAGGGTCAACCTATTTTAATAATGAATCAATACATATACAAATGCAACAAAAAAAGGCCCAATAAAAAATATTGGGTGTGTGTGGTTAAAGATTGTGGCGTATATGTTCATACTGATATAGATCAGAAGTATTTGTCTGGTGGTAAAACTGACCATGGGCACCCAGCAAAATCCTGAATTTCTTCAAGTCAAAAAAACTCGTGAACAAATAAAACAGCGTGTATTAAATGAGTTTACACCGATCGGGAAAATTTATGATGAAGAGATGACGAAAACTGATATGAATTCAGTGGCGATAGCCATATTTCCAACGGTGCATGAAATGTGTAAGTTATTTTATAAGCACTAATTTATTTATTTATTTATCTGTTTTTTTTAGATCAGGGCGCTGCTAAAAATCGACGTAAAATGATACCACCATTACCAGAATCATGCCTGTTTGATATTCCTAATGAATTTAAATTAACAATTGAAAAAAAAAGATTTTTGTTAATCGATGAAGCTCGTGTAAGACGTAAACGTCTATTACTTTTTGCAAGCGATGCGCAACTTGATTTATTATTCAATGCATCAACCATCTACATGGATGGTACATTTAAAAAAACTCCGCCACAATTCAGTCAAATATATATAATACATATAGTACATTTTGATATCTGTAAGTAAGATTCTGGCTTGTCTTTTGAAAACTTGCTGTCATTTATTTTCAGGTGTGCCATGTGTGTTTGGTTTATTGGTGAATAAAAAAGCTGCAACCTACAAACAAATTTTTTCTGAATTGAAAAATGCTGCTTTAAGAAAGCAAACTGTTTTTTCACCCTCAGTTATTATGACCGACTTCGAATCTGGTTCAATTTCTGCAGTATAGGATGAAGTATTTAATATCTTAATCGGAAAAACATCTTCTATTTGGTTTCTTTTTAGTTTCCAACAGCTCAACATCTTGGCTGTTATTTCCATTTTTCTCAAGCGATCTATAGGCACATTCAGTTTCTGGGGTTGCAACGGCAGTACACGATTGATGAAACATTGAGAGTTTTATGTAGAAAGTTGATGGCTTTGCCATTGATGCCACGTGATAAAATTTTATCTGGTTTAGACGAAATACGAGAAGCTGCTGATCTTTTACCTGGTTTACCAATGATTCGATTATTGGAATATTTTGACAAGAACTGGATGTTGGATATTGATTTGTGGAATGTATATGGCTTTGATAGTCGGACAAACAACATTTGTGAAGGTGAAGATATCTGTTTGATGAAATAAAAGGTTCAATTTGCTCTTTTTAATTGCAGGCTATCACAATAGAATGAATTGTCGTATTTATCGAAATCATCCAAATATATGGCATTTCATCGACTTTATGAAAACAGAGGAAAAACGTGTACAGAATACTGTACTTCAATGGTCTTCCGGTGCGTTGAAGAAGAAAACCAAAAGAACAACAGCATTACAAAATCGAATAAACACGCTTTATAGTCGCTATAATAACTAGATGGTATTCAAGTTTCACTCGAATACGAAATGCGATGCGAAGCTCGAATCGGATCTTCCCCAAAAGTCTACAATTCAGAGAAACCTTGAATATTATTTATGTCGACATGATGAAATTCATCACTGAGAAAACTCCATTCTTACTTAGCGATACATTCTTAAGGATCGATTTCGATTGATCGATTAATTATCTCCATGATTCATTATCTTAGATCAGCTGGAAATGAATA